GCAGGGATTTCAAAATCGATTGATCCGAAATACATAAACACTTACACGTTCGTAGCTCGGATTCCCCCCGAGAAAAAGCCCGCGCTCGCGCTCTTGTCTGGACGAACCCATGTGTTTTTCAACGTGTTCATCCAACTCAACCGAACGAGCCCGTCGCGCGAGCGCGTCGAAATCTTTTGAACGCCATTGCGCGCGTGCTGTCGTAATCATCCTTTGCAACCGATGGGGCGAAGGGCGTCGTCGAGCGCGGATGCCAGAAACTTTCGCAAATCTTAGGCGTCGTAAGGATTTTAAAGTCGAGCGGCCCGAAAACAAATAAAACCTTGTTGGTTTTGGCAATGTCAGTTTTCAGGAAAAAGCTTGCGCGCGCACTCCTGCGATTGCTGGGGAAAATCGTGGGCCTTTCAAAGTTGCCCTGACATTTTACCAAACGGGCCTTTCGCGCCGCGCGCCGACATCATCCGGGCACCTTGCGCGCGTGCTCCGGGGGTGGCGCGATCCGTGCCGAGTGAGACCATGCGGGCCGCGCGCGCGTGTCGAACTCCATTCAAAACCTCCATCGCCGACGCGAGGGCATTGTTATCGCTATCGGTGGGCGCGATGATCATCGGTGCAGTCAATGGCGTTGCCGTCGTAGTCGCCACCGTCGTCACGTCGTAGTCGCCACCGTCGTCACCATCAGCGCTTCTTTCATCGTCGTGTCCACCGCTGTCGGCGACGCCATGATGCCGCGCCCGCCCAAGTCACCGACTCGCAGTGAAGTGCTCGCTGGGAGGTGCCCGGCGGTGAGCGCCACCGCGGCCGCGTCGGCCGCGCCGCGCTCGCTGGTCGCTGCGCGCGCGAGCTTGCGCGGGCTAGCGCGGCCGCGTGGATGCATCAGTCAACGCCGAGCACTCGTAACAATTGCCGTCGTATGGGTTTTGCAAACCAAGTTGCGGGTGGGTGTGTGGGGTGGCTGCGCGAGCAGTGGAGTTGTCAGTTCAGTGCGGCCGTTGGTGGGCCGTACCACTAAAGGGCCATCATGACGTCACTACATAGCGTGCACAACCTACACTGGACCGCGTCGACTGTATCAAATGGATTTCACAACATGCGTAGCGCCGCGTAAAGTGCGCGACGTCTCTCATTCTTTCCACGAGAGTAATCGGATCCACCCCCCTCCCTGGAATTAACGATGCCTCTTTTCGGATTGTAAGTTATGTGCGGCTTTGCCCCAACCAAACCAGTCTCCTACTCTCTGACCCTTTGCAAAGAATACTATGCTCTCGCGCGCGCGTCCACAACAATCCTCAGTTTTCAATGATCCCTTGCAACAGATGGGGTGGAGTGCACGCGCGCTCGTCGTCGCGCGCGCATGCCGGCATTCTTTAAACAATTTCAGGTTTCGCGGCGGTATCAAAACCGAGTGTCCGAAACACATGAGCACACATGGACTCGCAACGTTCATGAAATTGTGCTTGCGTTGTTGCAGGTTCTTAATCGTTCCATAGGGTATGCAGCGCTTTCATTCAATGCTGCCAAGTGTGCCCCTCGCTAGGGTAAGGCGGACGCGCTCGAACGCCCTTGCGCGCGCGCTGTCGCACAAATCCCTTGCAAAAACATGTGACGCATTGCGCGCGACGACGCGCGCGAACATGCAGAAATCTGTCGAACAGCTCAGGTTTCGTAGGGATTTATGGCCAGCTTTCAAAAGTGCCCGTGCTCGTGCTCCTGCGAAGTGTTAAGCGCAACATGGTTTTCAACATTGTTGTCCATTTCGTCCACGCGGGCCTCTCGCGCCGCATGTCGGAATCATTCGAACACCCTTGCGCGCGTGCTGGGGGGGGGGGGCGCGATCCGTGTCAAATGCGACGATGCGGGCCACTCGCGCGCGTCGGCTACGCGCGCACGTCGAATTCCTTCCAAAACCTTCATCACCGACACGAGGACGCCGTCATCGCTCGGCGTGATCAGCATCGGCGCCGTCACCGGCCGTGCCGTCGTCGTTGTCATCATCGTCGCTAACATCGCTACTGTCACCGTCGTGTCTAGCTCGTCGTCATGATTCCGCGCCCTCCGGAATCGCCGACTCGCAGTGAACTGCCCGCTGGGAAGCGCCCAGCTGTCAATGCCACCGCGGCCGCGTCGGTCGCGCGGCAGTGGCTGGCCGCTTTGCGCGCGAGCGTGCGCTGTAGCGCGGTCGCAGCGATGTGCCAGCCAGTACCGAGCATTCATCGCATTCGCCGCCGCAGGGGCTTTGCAAAGTAAGTCGTGGTTGGGTTGATGGGTGGGACGACTGCGTGAACAGTGGAGTTGACAAATTCCAGTTCGGCAGGGTTAGTTGCACCACGTAGTCTGCACCACGTGTAGTGCCAAACGTACGTTTCACAACTTCGATTGACCAAGTATATTGCATCACGTATATTGGTAGAACACGCGTTTTTTTTGGGTCCACGCTGGTTCCAACTTCTTGTGTTGTATCGTTCGTGTATGCTAGTGCGTCCCTGAAAAAGCGAGAGAAAGACATATATATGTGTGTGTATATACTCATATATATATATAGAAAGAGAGAGAGAGAGAGAGAGAGAGAGAGAGAGAGAGAGAGAGAAAGAGAGAGAGATACAGAGAAAAAGAAAGAGAGACAAACAACAAATAAGCAGACACATAGGGAAACAACGATATAAACAGAAAGGGAGATAGACAGAGAAAGAGAGAGAGAGAGAGAGAGAGAAAGAGAGAGAGAGAGAGAGCGAAAGAGAGAGAGAGAGAAACAACATAAGCAGAGAGAGAGAGAGAGAGAGAGAGAGAGAGAGAGAAAGAGAAAGAGAGAGAGAGAGAGAAAACCAAAGACATAGAGAGTGTATGTGTGTATGTGTGTATGTGCACTCTTTTTTGTCGTGTATGTTTGCGTGTGTGTGTGTGGGTGTGAGCTCCCGCCCGACTTGAACTGCGCCGCGCCGCCGCGCGCGTGGCCGCGACGCCAAGCGTGTGTGTGTGTGTGTGTGTGTGTGTGTGTGTGTGTGTGTGTGTGTGTGTGTGTGTGTGTGTGTGTGTGTGTGTGTGTGTGTGTGTGTGTGTGTGTGTGTGTGTGTGTGTGTGTGTGTGTGTGTGTGTGTGTGTGCGTGAAGGGCCAGCGTTTCCCCCATTTTCTGTTCCAGCTCCTCCCTTGGCGGGGCGTTAGCTCGATTCTCCTGGCGTGCGAATTTGAGCGTTCGTGTGGCTTCCCGCTCCAGTTGCGTGCGACCGCAATGCGTGTGTGTGTGTGAGAGAGAGAGAGAGAGAGAGAGAGAGAGAGAGGAAGAGAGAAAGAGAGAGAACAACAAACAAACAAACAACAAAGAGACACTGAGAAGTGGCCACGACGTCGGCGGCCTTGCTTCTCGTTTGCCAGAAACTTGCAAACATACGCGCCGATGTCGAGTCAGCCCCCCCTGGAATTGAGCATGCCCGCTTGCCGGAGGCACCTCCCCGCAGGGGCGCACGTCGGCGAGGCGCGGTGGTGGCTTTCTATCTGCAGCACGTGGACGGGTGGCAGCGCGCTCGGCCCCCACAGCGAGACTTGCACGAGCGACGGGCTGGCCCAGTGGGGGGGGAATCATTCTCCTCCTCTCCGATGTCAGCCCCCCTCCTCTTCCACTGTCGGCCACCGCGTGGGCGAACGTCCACGCGATGAAGGCAGCCGCGGGCGCTCCAGGCCGCTCTGCTCGCCGTGCCAGTGCCTGCCAGGGGCCGCCGCGGCTCGGCAGGTGCCCGAGAGCTGCCCAGCCGCGGCCCGCGGCTCGGGCGTTCCGCAGCAGACGTCCGCAGCAGACGTCTGGGCGAGGCCAGACCAGGGGCAACGTCAGGGTTTGGGGACCCTACCGAGGGGGAGGCGGGGGGGGGAAGAAGCATCGGCGCCTAACCCGCGCACTCGTTGCCAATCGGGGCCTGCCCCCCCCCCCCCCCCGACCCCGCCCAGGAGGAGCCTGCGGCCTCGCTGGGGGGGGGCCTCCGTCGGCGAGCCAGATCGGCTGAGGTGTCACCGACTCCTGGCCCTGCCGCTTTTCCCGCCGTGAGCCAGTTCTCCCCCCCCCCCCCCCCCCACCCTTCTCGACTTCTCGGCACTACGACAGCCATGTCACCCCATGGTTGCAGGTAGCGACGCAGTCGTGGTGGGCCTCGGGTGAGCATGAGTTTGGCAGTTCTACACACTTCGCGTGACCCCACCAGCCCATTTAGAAACGATGCCCAGACGCATTGCCCTGATCAGGGATGTGGAGGACCATGCAGTGGAATTAAGGGCTGGGTAAGACGTCATACCCCAAGAGGGTGAGGATGGAGGAGGAATCGGAGGAACAGGAGGATGAGGATGGGGAGGAGGAAAAGGAGAAGGAGGAGGAGGAGATCCATCAAAGGAGGGGGGCTCCTTAATCAGGCCCCCCCCTGGAGGCCAAAGTGTGGCCAAGACCCATGATTGTGGTCCCCTCGTCGAGGCCATATTGGGCGAAACCCCCCCCCCCGCGAAAGGCCCCGTCCAGATCCAGGGGGAGGGGGTATGGGGGAGGGGTAAGCCCCTCGCCGAAGGGGAAGACGAGAAGATGGAAGAAGAACCTCGCAAGACCACTCGGGTCCCAAAGCGCTCGTGAGACTTCTGGGAGGCTGCGGCCTCGTGCGCCTCGTCCAAGCGGGCACGGCAAACACACGCGCGTCGCCGCATGTGCCGGGATTGGCGCCTCGCTCGCTCGCTCGCCCACCCTGTCGACGCCCCTCAGATATCGCAGGCGGCCAGAGAGAGATGACGTTAGAGAGTCGCTCCATGAGCAGACCTCCTTGAATTCAGATTCCATTCTGCGAGTTCCCTTGAGGTCTTTCTTGCCTCTCTAGGGTTTTTCCCTAGGACTCGGCGATCCCTCGTCGTCGTCGTCGTCCTCGTCTTCGTCCGCGTCCTCGTCCTCGTCCTCGTCCTCGTCGTCGTCGTCGTCGTCGCCACCGCCGCCGCAGCCGCCGCCGCCGCCGCCGTCGCCCTCCCACCCGCCCCGCAGCGCTGGTGGCCCTCGTCTGCCACGGCTTCGAGGCCGACCTCGCCGCCGGCACGCCCGGCACCGTCCCGAGCGCGCCCGGCGGGCAGGCCCGGGCCGCACGCCGCCCGGCGCGGGCGCGCGGCGGCGGCGGTGGCGGCGACGGCGACGACGACGAGGGATTGCCGAGCCCCGGCCAGTGGACCGAGCTGTCTCGCCGTTCGCGGCCTCTACCTCGAGCCTCGATGCTCCCTCCTCGCTCCTCGCTCCTCGCTCCCCGATCCTCGATCCTCCTCGATCCTCGATCCTCGATCCCTCCTCGATCCTCGATCCTCGATCCTCCTCCTGCTTGATCGGTAGCCGGTGGCGGACCGGGGGAGAGCGAGCGGGGGGTGCGCGCGTGCCGCACCGCCCCCGGGCTCTCGGCGGGAGGAGCTTCTTGGACTCCCTGCGGCCTCCGGGGGCCCTCGCCAGCCCTGGGGGCCGTCAAAAAACACAGCTCGGGTCGAGGGTTAGGTCGGGCGTGTCCCCCTACAGGGGGATTTTCGACGAAAAATAAAAGATACCCCCCAAAAATACCCCAAAAAGGTAAAACAAATATTCAAAGCATAGTCCCCAGACTATTTTTGGACTACTTTTTGATTATTTTCGGGGTGTTTTTTATTTCTCGTCGAAAATCCCCCTGCAGGGGGACACGCCCGAAGTCGAGGGGGGGGGTCCAGGTCTAGGATCGGGAGGAATCGTTCCGGAGTTTTCCGGAGCACTCTGGGTCGGCCGCGGCGCCAGCTGCCTCTTCCAGAGCCGCCAGATCCCAGAGATCCACTCAGGGCAGCTGCCCTTGGCCGGGCTCACCCTGGAGCCGGGAGTGTACAGTGAGCGGCTTGAATAAGGAACACTTACTTTTCAAAAGGGGCTCGGTCGTTCCTTAGGCTTGCATGCGTTATTTATTGTTCACTATGCGTTACGTATTATTTGTTCATCGTTCCCTATGCGTTATTCCTTGGAAGAAAGGGGCTTCGTTCCTTATTCATCGTTCCTTAGGTCAGGCCGATGACTGTATGTGTTTCCCGGGTCGGGCCAAGGTGGGCGCCTGCGCCGCTCGTGGGCCCAGGAGGAGCGGCACTGCGCCGCCGGCAACGGCGGCGGGCTCGTCAGCAGGCGCTCTGGGGCCCTGAGCACGCGGCCAGTCTTCGTCGCATCGTGGGCCCCTGGGTTCGCGGCCTTCGGCCTTCGGCCTTCGGCCTTCGGTTCGGGTTCCACTCGTTCGGCTTTTTCGTTCCGCCCCCTGGGCCCGTCGTGCTCTTGCGTTGCGGTGTTTCCTTCGGCCCTCCTCGGCCCGTCGCTCGCTCGTGGGCCTTTTTTTGTTTGTTGTTGTTGTTGTCGTCGTCGTCGTCGTCGTTGTTGTTGTTGTTGTTGTTGTTGTTGTTGAACATTATTAATTCTAAAGAATAATTATTGTTGGGCCCCCTGGTGCGCGCCCCCCCCGCCGCGCCTAGGCCGCAGCCACGTTTTCATCATTTTCGTGAGGAAGCCTCAGGTAATTCGAGGTGATCAAGATCCGGTTGTTTTGTTGTAATCCGTTTTCCCTTGCAAAAAACACTATAAAATGACATTTCTTGTTCTAATATAATCAAATTTCAAGAATCCCTTGCAAAAAATAAGGTAAAGTGGACATTCGCGCGCGCAAGACGAAATCCTTCCAAAAGCTTAGTGTTCGGAGCGATTTTAACATAAAAACATCAAAAAACCAATGGTTTTTCAACAAAAAAATGTCAAAATCTCATCCCGCGCGCTCTTGCGGATTCGTAGGAAACCCAACACTTTTTAAACATTTCTGTCAAACGGGCTTTTGCGAGCAACTTTTTCGAACTTCTGCGACAACGGTTGCGCACCTGCCAGGGCCATCATCCCTGTCAAATAATACCATGCGGGACACATTCGTTTTTTTCTTCGCGCGCGCACGCCGAAATCTCCAAAAACCATTGGGTTCTGTGGGTGTGTACCCCACGCCAGTGTAGTAGCCACGGTCGTCCGCACGCCACGAAGTGAAGTGTCCCAACGTCATAGGGCGGGAAGCTGGGTTTGGGTGGTCGCGAAGAGTCGTTTGGATATTTGGTAGAGCTTGTAATGCCCCCCCACGAAGTGGGGGTATTGCCTGGTGTCGTATGAAAACCCTGGCACTGGGGAGAACACCACGCGTTCGGGTAAAATGATTGTTGTTGTTGTTGTTGTTGTTGTTGTTGTTGTTGTTGTTGTTGTTGTTGTTGTTGTTGAACATTATTTATTCTAAAGAATAATTATTGTTGGGCCCCCTGGTGCGCGCCCCCCCTGCGCCGCCTAGGCCGCAGCTACATTTTCATCATTTTCGTGAGGAAGCCTCAGAAAAGAGGGTGTGTACAGGATCCGGTTGTTTTGTTGTAATCCGCTTTCCCTTGCAAAAAACAATAGAAAATGACATTTCTTGTTCTAATATAATCAAATTTCAAGAATCCCTTGCAAAAAATAAGGTAAAGTGGACATTCGCGCGCGCAAGACGAAATCCTTCCAAAACCTTAGTGTTCGCAGCGATTTTAACATAAAAACATCAAAAAACCAATGGTTTTTCAACAAAAAATTGTCAAAATCTCATCCCGCGCGCTCTTGCGGATTCGTAGGAAACCCAACACTTTTTAAACATTTCTGTCAAACGGGCTTTTGCGAGCAACTTTTTCGAACTTCTGCGACAACGGTTGCGCACCTGCCAGGGCCATCATCCCTGTCAAATAATACCATGCGGGACACATTCGTTTTTTCTTCGCGCGCGCACGCCGAAATCTCCAAAAACCATTGGGCTTCTTAAGAATTTTAGCACCGCGCATCATAAAATCACACGAATCGCACCGTAGGTCCTCGAAAAACACCTGCACGACTTTTCAAAATTTCTACCCGCGCGCGCTGTCCGAATCCTAAAAAATCCAATGGTTTTCCAACATTTATGTTACATGAGCTCGCGCGAGCTACTTTCGCAACAGATGTTCTGTGGAAGGCTTAACAACTTCTGTGGGTTAACAAGGCTTAACAACTTCTGTGGGTGTACGAACGTAGGCTTAACAACTTCTGTGGGTGTGTACTCCACGCCAGTGTAGTAGCCACGGTCGTCCGCAGGCCACGAAGTGAAGTGTCCGAACGTCATAGGGCGGGAAGCTGGGTGTGGGTGGTGGCGAAGAGTCGTGTGGATATTTGGTAGAGCTTGCACTGCCCCCCCACAAAGTGGGGGTATTGGCTGGCGTCGCATGAAAACCCTGGCACTGGTGAGAACACTGAGCGTTCGGGTAAAGTGATTGTTGTTGTTGTTGTTATCGTTGTCGTTGTCGTTTTTTTTTTTTTTTTTTTTTTTTTTGTTTTGTTTTGTTGTTGTTGTTGTTGTGGTTGTGGTTGTGGTTGTTGTTGTTGTTGTTGTTGTTGGTGGTGGTGGTGTTGTTGTTGTTGTTGTTGTTGTTGTTGTTGTTGTTGTTGTTGTTTCCATGGGGGGAGGGGAGGGTGGTTAGATTTTGCCTAGTCGGAGGCTGGCCAGTCAATCTTATGAGCGATTGGCGTATGCCCCTCAGCCCATCCAGAGACGACCCCCAGGCAATCTGACGGGAGAGTATGATGTACACGAAGTAAGTATATGAACGTGAAGGTAAGCAAAGAGGATACCAATGGTGAATGTTTGCGCCTTTGTGAGCCATCTTGTTGGAGTTTTCTGGGGGCCTCTTGGAACCATCTTGGAGGCCATAATCAATGAGGCGGTGTCGACAACGTGGACCCACCCCCTGTCAGAACCCGAGAGATCGTTTCCTGGGGGTGAGCTGATGTCGCGCTTGGGACGCTCGCGGGGCGCTCTTGGGTGTATTCCGGGCCGTTTTAGGGTTTTATTTTCGGGTCCCCCTAGGGGCTCTTGGAAATCTTGAAGTCATCTTGAAGCGTCAGAGGCCCATCGTAAGCGAACATGCGAGAATGCACGCGTCATCCGAACACCGCAGGTCATTGGAGGGCTGGGGCCCGTCGGGCCTATCCTTGGGAGGCGCAGTGGCCACCTGCGTCGTCTTGGAAAGTATTGGGCCATCTTGGAGGCATGCTTGACGACAGGTTAAGACATTCTGGATCCTCAGGAGGAGGAGGCGGAGGAGGAGGAGGAAGAGGAGGAGGAGGAGGAGGAGGAGGAGGAGGAGGAGGAGGAGGAGGAGGAGGAGGAGTCTGGGGACCATTTTTCGAGTATTTCTGGACTATTTCGGAGTATTGTTTTGAGTATTTACTTAACAGCGAAGAGTGATAGGTATCTAGTAGGGTCAAAAGAGAGCATCATGACTCCCCAGGGGGGTCTGGGCGGGATCCAGCGATCTGCCGGCGCTCTGCCGCCGCCACCCAAATCGCCTTTGACATCCTCGCAAAATCGCTCTTGGCGCTCCCAGAACTCCATTCCCGGGCCACATTTTGAATGCCCGGAGCCAACTGTAGGCCACTTCGTGCTCTTCGACTTCCCAGAACTCCATTCCCGGGCCACATTTTGGATGCCCGGAGCCAACTGTAGGCCACTTCGTGCTCTTCGACTTCCCAGAACTCCATTCCCGGGCCACATTTTGGATGCCCGGAGCCAACTGTAGGCCACTTCGTGCTTCGAGTTCCCAGAACCCATTCCGGGCCACATTTTGAATGCCCGGAGCCAACTGTAGGCCACTTCGTGGTCTTCGAGTTCCCAGAAATCCATTCCCGGGCCACATTTTGAATGCTGAGGCAGGCTGAGGCTGAGGCTGAGGCTGAGGCTGAGGCAGGCTGAGGCTGAGGCCGAGGCTGAGGCAGACTGAGGCTGAGGCTGAGGCAGAGGCAGGCTGAGGCTGGCTGAGGCAGGCTGAGGCTGAGGCAGGCTGAGGCTGAGGCTGAGGCTGATGCAGGCTGAGGCTGAGGCACGCTGAGGCTGAGGCCGAGGCTGAAGGCAGACTGAGGCTGAGGCTGAAGCAGGCTGAGGCTGAGGCTGAGGCTGAGGCTGAGGCTGAGGCTGAGGCTGAGGCTGAGGCAGGCTGATGCTGAGGCAGGCTGAGGCTGAGGCTGAGGCTGATGCAGGCTGAGGCTGAGGCAGGCTGAGGCTGAGGCCGAGGCTGAAGGCAGACTGAGGCTGAGGCTGAAGCAGGCTGAGGCTGAGGCTGAGGCAGGCTGAGGCTGAGGCAGGCTGAGGCTGAGGCCGAGGCTGAAGGCAGACTGAGGCTGAGGCTGAGGCTGAGGCTGAGGCTGAGGCTGAGGCTGAGGCTGAGCTGAGGCAGGCTGAGGCTGAGGCTGAGGCTGAGGCTGAGGCTGAGGCTGAGGCTGAGGCTGAGGCTGAGGCTGAGGCAGACTGAGGCTGAGGCTGAGGCAGGCTGAGGCTGAGGCTGAGGCAGGCTGAGGCTGAGGCTGAGGCAGATGCTGAGGCTGAGGCTGAGGCTGAGGCTGAGGCAGGCTGAGGCTGAGGCAGGCTGAGGCTGAGGCCGAGGCTGAAGGCAGACTGAGGCTGAGGCTGAAGCAGGCTGAGGCTGAGGCTGAGGCAGGCTGAGGCTGAGGCTGAGGCAGGCTGATGCTGAGGCAGGCTGAGGCTGAGGCTGAGGCTGATGCAGGCTGAGGCTGAGGCAGGCTGAGGCTGAGGCCGAGGCTGAAGGCAGACTGAGGCTGAGGCTGAAGCAGGCTGAGGCTGAGGCTGAGGCAGGCTGAGGCTGAGGCTGAGGCTGAGGCTGATGCTGAGGCAGGCTGAGGCTGAGGCTGAGGCTGATGCAGGCTGAGGCTGAGGCAGGCTGAGGCTGAGGCCGAGGCTGAAGGCAGACTGAGGCTGAGGCTGAAGCAGGCTGAGGCTGAGGCAGAGGCAGGCTGAGGCTGAGGCTGAGGCAGGCTGATGCTGAGGCAGGCTGAGCTGAGGCTGAGGCTGAGGCTGATGCAGGGTGAGGCTGAGGCAGGCTGAGGCTGAGGCCGAGGCTGAAGGCAGACTGATTTTGAGGCTGAGGCAGGCTGAGGCTGAGGCTGAGGCAGGCTGAGGCTGAGGCAGGCTGAGGCTGAGGCTGAGGCACGCTGAGGCTAAGGCTGTGACTGCGACTGCGACTGCGACTGCCATCGCGAATGCGACTACGACTGCGAGAACAGCAGAATTCTACAACAGGATTCTCATCTGAATCTTAAGGGGAATGCTTCCAGATATGCTCCTACACATCGCTGTTAGGTTGCTTTGCCGGGATAATTTTTATTTTTCGTCGAAAACCCCCCTGTGGGGGGACACGCCCGACTTAAGCCCAGTGGCGGGGTCGGGGTGGGGGTGGGGGTGCGCGTCAGCCCCTCCCCGACGGGGAAGAGAGCGGGTGGGAGACAGGACTTCCCCAAGCCGCCCACCCTGAGATCCGACGTTGCGAAAAAACCGAAGCAGCGTGAGGAATCATGACCCCGGCCCCAGACCTCATCTTCCTGCGGCGTTTTTCGAGCCAGATCGATCTGTGGGGGCTCCAGGGCCCGAACCCGGGCGAAAACGCGCGTGGTGAAAAAGCTGCAACGCCAAGGTCTCGGGGCTGCTCCCCCTGCGAGCGATGCTGCCCACGAGCTGCACCAGGCAGACCCGGGGCAAGCGAAGACCAGCCTGCAATAGGCGAGGACCGTCGAGGAGCACCCTGGGTCATCGAGCCCAAAAAACCTCGGAGGGGCGTGGTTTCTTGGGGCTCGATGAGCGTGGAATCCCGCCAGCCCGTTTGGGCACGGAATCCCGCCAGCTGGGCGTGGAAGCCCTCCGGCGCGCCCCCAAAACACCACGCCCACCCAGCCCTCGGGGCGTCCCCACCTGGGCGTGGAATCTCGCCAGCCCATCCGAGGGCACGCCCGGAGGGCCAGCGGGATGCCACGCTCCCGGCCGCCGCCGCCGTCGCCCGTCGCCCCCCGCGCGGCCGGCGAGGCGAAGCTCTTCGCGGCCTGGTGCGGCACCGGGCGCATGCTGCTGCTCCGCGGGCGGCAGGCCTCGGAGGGCCCCCCCCCCCCCCATCGCTCGCGCCCTGCTCCTCCCCGTGCTGCTCCTGCCTCGCTGCTCTCTCCATGTGGGCCCCCTCCCGTCGTCCTCTCCCCCCCCCTCGCTCCTCGCCGCCTGCTCCTGCCTCGGTGCTTCTCTCCCTCCTTCCTCGGGGCTTCTGCGGTCGTCGCCTTTCCTCCGCCTCCTTTTCCTCCGCCGTCCGCCTCTTCTTCTTCTTCTTCTTCTTCTTCTTTTTCTTCTTCTTCTTCTTCATATCGTTCCCTCATTTTTGTTTGTCTTCTCGATTCGTATGTTGTTTCTTCTTCTTTCCGTCTTCCCCTCGATCGTATTATCATATGTATCACCATTATTAAACTACTATATGTTTTATCATTCTTATGGCTGCTATTCTTTTTCTCAGCTGTGTATTACCAGTATCGTTATCATCATTATTACTGTCATGCATGTTCGTAGTATTATTTTTGCTCCTATAACGCTTCCTGTTCTTCTTTTTTGTTGTCAAGTATCATCATCATTGTTGTTGCTGCCATTATTGTTATGCTTGTTTTTGCTATTATCATTATTGTAGTGGTTGTTGTTAGTGTTGTTGGTATTATTATGATGATTCGTATTGCTATCACTTGAACTTCTTGTAACTACCAATCATATTTTTCATCATCTACCTTCTCTTATCCACCCTTTGTGCCGTTGTGGTGAGTGCTGGTGCCAGTGGGCACTCGTGATGACCTCATGGCAGTGACGTGGGCGTTCATTCCCCCCCCCACGTCCTCACCCACCGTCCAACTTCGACCCACCCCATCTCTTCGTCGGCACACCGACGCCGCCCTTCTGACGCGCATCCCGGGCCCATGCTCGATGTGAGCTGGCCCTCTCCGGCCTGCCTCGGCTCCGGGCCCCTCCGCGCGTGTGGCCCGGCCCCTGCCCGGGGAGGCGGGCCCTCCTCCGAGGGGCTGGGCGGCGCCCGGCCTCCGGCCCCCTCCTCGGTGGCCCCGCCTCACTGCCGCTCGGAGGCCTGCCGCGCCCCCGTCAGGGCCCAGACCTCCCCGCAGGCCGCAGCGGGAGGGCTCGTGCCAAGTGCCGGCCTCGCGCGTCGGCTGCTCGCGCAGGGTCGCGCGCGTGGGCGTCCTCGCCTCCAATGCCGCGTGCCGCGCTGGCAGCCTGCGCAAGCTGCGGCTTCAAGGCCGCTGCGTCATTCGGGCCGGGCGAAAGGGGGGGATTGGGAAAGGGGGGGTTACGATATTTGCTGCATGCAGCTGGTTTCGGCCTCACCGAGGGGCCCATTCCTCGATACATGGCCGCCTCCGGCGCCGGGAGGCGCCGGGAAAATCAGCTACGTGAGCTGATTCTCAAACCCCCCCTTTGCTATCCCCCCCTTTCGCCCGACCCGAGTCATCTCGCGTGAGGCGCAGTTTTGATCGTCGCTCAGATGGCTCGGGGCGAGAAGCCGGTTCCCGTGAGGGGGTCCAGTCCTCTGGGGGGTCATGCCCTGGAGGAGAGTCGCGGCGTGCCGGAGGTCGGGGGGGGCCCCTTGCTGTCTCTCCCCGTCGGGCCTGGGCCTGTCAAGCACCATCTCTTCTTCTTCTTCTTCTTCTTCCTCTTCTTTTTCTTCTTCTTATTCTTCCTGTTCGTCTTCATCTTCTTCGTCTGCCTCTTCTCTACATACACGTAATTGATAATTTATGGCTAGTATCAGTGTTATGATTCGTATTATTCGTATCATATTGTTCTGATCGTCATTATTATGATTCGTCTTCTCTTCTTAGAAGCATCTTCTTGTTCTTACAAGTCTTGCAGTTCATGCTCTTTTATCTTCTCCTTATTTTTCCCGTATCCTTTTTTGCCAATGTTCTCATTCTTTGGTTTCTTCTTCTCTCTCTCCTTCTCCTTCTCCCTCTCCTTCTCCTTCTTATCCTTCTTCTTCTTCTTCATACTTTTGCTATTAGTTTGAATCGAAGACGCCTACGGCGAATCACCGCCGCCCCCTTCCTTTTTGGAAGCGCCTATGTGGCCGAATGTTGAGGCCAGACCTGCCAAGCTATCGGACCATGTGTTCCCCGAATCGGTTTGGAAAGCCTTCGGGGAACGCGTGGGCATTTTGAAGGTCATCTTGGCCGTCTGGAGGCCATTTTGACCCTTTCGGGCCTTCTTGGAGGACGTCTTGGAGGGCTGTTGGGCCGTCTTGGAAGCCATCTTTAGCGTCTTGGAGGCCTCTTGGGCCGTCTTGGGGGCCTCTTGGGGCCTTCTTGGGGGCCTCTGGGGCCGTCATGGGGCCATCTTGGAGGCCTCTTGGGTGCTGTTGGGGCGATGTTGGGGACCTCTTGGGCCGTCTGGGGCCGTCGGAGAGCTGAAAAGAAGAACATGCCAAAATCCTTCAAAAACCTAAGGAAAATCAATTATTTTAACCTATTCGGGCCTTCCTGGAGGGCGTCTTGGAGGGCTCTTGGGCCGTCTTGGAGGCCTTTTGCGGGCCTTTTGGGCCGTCTTAGACCATCTTGAGGCCATCTTGGGCCGTCTTGGGTGCATCTTGGAGCCATCTTACCCGTCTTGGAGGCCATCTTGGCCGTCTTGGAGGCATCTTGGAGGCCATCTTGGGCCATCTTGGCCGTCTTGGAGGCCATCTTGGGCGTCTTGGAGGCCTCTTGGGCCGTCTTGAGGCCCTCTTGGGGCCTTCTTGGGGGCCTCTTGGGCCGTCATGGGGCCATCTTGGAGGCCTCTTGGGTGCTGTTGGGGCGATGTTGGGGACCTCTTGGGCCGTCTTGGGCCGTCGGAGAGCTGAAAAGAAGAACATGCCAAAATCCTTGAAAAACCTAAGGAAAATCAATGATTTTAACCTATTCGGGCCTTCCTGGAGGGCGTCTTGGAGGGCTCTTGGGCCGTCTTGGAGGCCTTTTGCGGGCCTTTTGGGCCGTCTTAGACCATCTTGAGGCCATCTTGGACCGTCTTGGGTGCATCTTGGAGCCATCTTACCCGTCTTGGAGGCCATCTTGGCCGTCTTGGAGGCATCTTGGAGGCCATCTTGGGCCATCTTGGCCGTCTTGGAGGCCATCTTGGGCGTCTTGGAGGCCTCTTGGGCCGTCTTGAGGCCCTCTTGGGGCCTTCTTGGGGGCCTCTTGGGCCGTCATGGGGCCATCTTGGAGGCCTCTTGGGTGCTGTTGGGGCGATGTTGGGGACCTCTTGGGCCGTCTTGGGCCGTCGGAGAGCTGAAAAGAAGAACATGCCAAAATCCTTGAAAAACCTAAGGAAAATCAATGATTTTAACCTATTCGGGCCTTCCTGGAGGGCGTCTTGGAGGGCTCTTGGGCCGTCTTGGAGGCCTTTTGCGGGCCTTTTGGGCCGTCTTAGACCATCTTGAGGCCATCTTGGGCCGTCTTGGGTGCATCTTGGAGCCATCTTACCCGTCTTGGAGGCCATCTTGGCCGTCTTGGAAGCATCTTGGAGGCCATCTTGGGCCATCTTGGCCGTCTTGGAGGCCATCTTGGGCCAAGTTGGGGCAACAAAGGCATTGACAGATGGATTTTCGGAAACTTGCGGGTGGCCGGCGGGACGGGCCGAAGCCCACTGGGGAGTTCTTTTAGAAAAAGAGCCAAAACCAAAACCTAAAACATCCAGCACGCCGTGCACCCCTGTGGCAAGACCACAGGGGGCGGCGGACATGTGGCCTTCGGCCCATCCTGCCAACGTGCACCGGCCGCCACCGTGCATCGGTTGTGGGTATGGTGCCCACTGGATGTTCGTTGGGATCTCGTGGGGGGCCTCTCGGGGGCTGGCCTCTCGCAGGCAGTCTGGGGGCCTCCTGGGGGGCCGTTTTGGGGGCCTCTCTTGGCCTCTTGGGGGGCCTCTTCGGGGCCTCCTGGGGGCCTCTTCGGGGGTCTCCTCCTTCGGCCTCCTGGGCGCCCCTCGGGGCCTCCCTGGGGCCTCTGAACCTCTTGGGGCGGAGAGGTCGGATTTTCGGTCCGTGTTTCCCCTCTTGGGCCCCTTTTTTGGGGCCGTTTTGGGGCCGTCTTGGGCCGTCTTGGGTCTGCCTCTGGGGGGCCTCTCGGGGCGCTCTTAGGCCGTCTTGGGGCCCTCTTGGAGGCCTCTTGGACCGTTTTGGATGGTCTTGGGCTGTTTGGGGTTGTCTTGGGGGCCACTTGGGCTGTCTTGGAGCGTCGGAACGCCGAAAAGGCGAGAACGCCAAACTCCTTAAAAAGACCGAATTCCAATTTACGATTTTAGTCTCTTGGGGCCCTCTCGGGAGGCCTCTTGGAGGCCTCTCGTGGCGTCTTGGGGGCCTCTTGGGCCGTCTTGGGCCCATCTTGGGCGTCCTGGAGCGATCCTTGGGCGTCTCGGGGCCCCCTCGGGGACCGCCTCGGCGGCCTTTTTGGAGCCCTCCTGCCCCGCCTTGGGGCCCTCGTGGGCACACCAGAAGTCCCGCGCGGAGGCGCGGGGGAGGCCGAGGGACCCCCTGTCATGGAGATTTGAGAATTTGAGCTCCGGTGCCCTTGAATAAATATTCCCCAGGACTGACGGCTGAAGCTCCAGGGTTAAGGCGAAGGACCTGAGGGCACGCCCAGTCCGTGCCCAGAGGCACGGTGGCGGATTCCTCTCATTTCTGTTGTTGTCCCTTTTCTTGAATTCGATGACTGTTGCCATTCTTTGTATCAGCTTATCGGTCTTCGTATGTTTCTCCTTCTGTTTATTCTTCTACATCTTATGATTATTAGTACTGTCTCCCTCTCCTTCTGCTTATCATTATTCTCAATATTATTACGAATAGTAGTACTATAGTATTACTGCTACTGTAATTATTGTTACTATTACGATTCTTATCATTATCATTGTTATTCTTGGCATTACTTCCCCAATCAGAGCTTGCCTCTGTAGGGGTCCAAGCGGATTCATACGGTTGGTTGAGGTACGGCGCCGATTTCGGCGGCACGCCCGGGTGCCCGGGTGCCCGGTAGCCCTATAACCTCGTAGCCCTATAGCCTTACAGCCCTATAGCCCTATAGCCCTATAGCCCCATAGCCCTAATAACCCTATAGCCCTGTAGCCTTATACCCCTATAGCCCTATAGCCCTGTAGCCTTATAGCCCTGTAGCCCTATAGCCCTGTAGCCCTATAGCCCTATAGCCCCATGGTCTTAAAACCCTACAGCCCTATAGCCTTATAGCCCCATAGCCCGATAGCCCTAACAAGCTTTTTTTTTGTTTTTTTGTTTGTTTTTCTCTCTGGTAGCATATTGTATCATCATCATCATCATCATCATCATCATCATCATCATCATCATCATCATCATCATCATCATCATCATCATTCTCATTATTATTATTATCATCATTATTATTATTATTATTATGATTAGTATGATTATCATCATCATCATTATTATTATTGCTATTATTATTAGAATTATTAGAATTATTAGAAGTATTAGTATATTGGTATTGCTATTGTTATTATTAGTATTAGTATTCTTATTATTATCATTAATATTATTATTAATACTACAGCTATTATTGTTATTCGCATCCACTTGTTATTCTTCTTACTTTTGTTCATCTTCTTCTTTTTCTTCGTATTTTCATTCTCTCTCTCTGTCGTCGTGTCCCAGCGCCCTTGTCCTCCCCCTCTTTCTGCTCAGGTGTCCTCTTCACTCAGCGCCTCCTGCTCCAGCGACTACTGGCTCTTCAGGTATTTGCTGTTGAGTCTGTTCTTCTTGCTCGTCGTCGTCTTCGTGCTCTTAGTCGGACTATTCTTCTTACTCCCTTTCTTCGCGTCGTGAACCTGATTATCCTTAGTCTTTGTGCTGTTCTTCGTATCTTTGGTCAAGATGTTCTTCTACTCCTCAAGTTCTGGTCCTTCATGTTTTTTTTGTTGTCTTCATCTGATCTTTCTTCGCCCATACCTCGCCCTCCCCTCCTCCTGCTCCTCCTCCTGCTCCTCCTGCTCCTCCTGCCCCTCCTCCTCCTCCTCCTTCTCCTCCTTGTCCTCCTCCTCCTCCTCCTCCTGCTCCTCCTCCTCCCCCCCTCCTCAGATCGACTCGAGTCCGACCCCGCACCCAGATTTGCCGCGAGATGCGGCTGTGACCATCACTTTCGTCACAGATCCGTTCTCATTGGCCCCGGGGCCCGATAGCTGGGGCCCGACAGCGGCCCCCAGTGGCCGAAGTCGGGGAAAAATGCGCTCGGCTTCCGAGCCCGAGGAGAATCGGCCGCCCCCCCCCCCCACGAACGAACGAACGAACGAACCAACCAACGAACCACCACTGCGGACAGCTGTCCGGGCCTGCTCGAGACCTGGTGGAGGAGGCCGTAGCCTTGCATGGGAGCCTTGCAGTCCGAGGCGGGGATGTATCCATATCCCCCGCCTGGAGGATCGACCTTCGGGGGCCTCGGCAGGCGGTGGATTTGGACATGTTTGGGCTCTGGTGGGGCTTGCATATATCCACATGCGCCGCCCGCTGGGGCCCACAGGACGTCGGTTTCCGAGGCGGTGGGTATGGATGCATTCCCGCCTCGCATGTATGCCTCGACCTCCCATCTTTGGAGTGCACTGGCGTGCGCTGGCGTCGGGTAGTCGATGAGAAAGCGCCGATGGAGCTTCGATGGGCGTTCATCAGCGTCGATTCGCGCCGGCTTGCTCCCATGGTCCGCGGACGACCTGTACCGAACCGTGTTGGCGTCTCCCGAGGAGTCGTCGATCTTCGACGCACGAATGGTACGGTACATCCCTTCTCGTAGTTGTTCGGCCCTCAGAACCGAGCAACCGTGCACCGTTGCACCGTACCGTGTTGGAGCGAGGCCTCATGAAGGGAGTCCAAATATGGCACGGTGAGTGAGCGCCGTTCTCGTACATGAGTGGCTATTCCCGGCGATCGTTGGCGTGGGCGGGGTGTGTGGGGGGAGGGGGCTGGTCACGTCACGATTCGTGCTGGCGCCGTCTGGGAATGCCTAGGAAAGGCAAGTTTTTGACGCTTCTTGTCTGCGGTAACTTTACCTCTCCTTCAGCGGCGGTTAGCTGCGACCCTGGACGCCCGCGTGGTATGACGGATTCGACGGAGACCCTGGTTCCCTGCGGGGAATGACGGATTCGGCGGATGAGGCAGTCCCACGGTGGCCTTCGGCGTACATCAGGCGGCAGCTGCCGTGCACTTCCACCCTGGACGCCCCACCTTGCTGGCGATGTTCTCTCCCACCAGCTTGGCCTCGGCCGCCCTCCAGGCCCGTCCCACCCCCGGCTTGGTATTCGACGTTCCTCGGGGGAGCAGCACAGCTGGCTCGCACACGCCGTTGGCGCGGCTTGGGCTTGGCGCCCCACTGGCGACGGCCCATCGCTTACCACGTCTGGGCACTCCTAACACTGAATTCCCTGGCATTTTGCTCAGGGCTGCACGTTGCTCGAGCTTCCCTGGGCGTTCCAGTTCAGCCAGCCAGCCCCCGCCCTGCTGCCCCAGCTGCCGCCTTGTGAGCTGGCCCGGCCGGCTTGTGCTGCGCCCAGTAGCTAATTAGGCTTGCCCGTCGGCCTGGACACCCTGTTCGCCGCGTGCGCTCTTCGCTCGCGGCCGCGACCCAAAAAGTATCCCTATCAGTTGGCGCGTACCCGCTTTGACTGGACACGCCGCCGGCGCTTCCGCCCGCGGCCGTTGACTAAAAAGTATCCCCATCAGCGAGTTGACGGGGGGAGAGAGGAAGAGACACGCATAGTCAAAGGATTTTGGCTTCTTGGCGGCCTCCTGGGGAGGCTCCGTGGCCATCTTGAGCCGTCTTGAGGCCGCTCGGGGGCCTCTTGGGGGCCTCTCGGGTGCCTTTTGGAGGGCTCCTGGGGCTTCTTGGGGCGCTCATTGGGCGCTCATTGGGGCCTCCTGGGAGCCCTGGGGGGCCTCTTGGGGCCATCTTGGAGGCGGTCGGTCAAAAAAGTGGGGGGACTAGATTGCGTCCCCCCCTCGGGGGCCACGATCCTCGTGAGGGGTGGCAAACAATGGCCCTCCCGAGGGCCGGAAAAAGAGCCTCCGACACATCGCGACCCTCCCCAAAAAACCTCAGGGAGGGAAGGGGGAGGGTTCCCCACTCCCCGAAGGGAAGAGGGGTTGTGGAAGAGTCAAGAGACCCTCCTTAGACCACCTGTCGCCCAAAGGGCTGGAGTGATTCCCAGATGGCGTTGGTACGGATCGTGACGTGACCAGGGGGGGGGACGGGGGCGGCGCGTGGCAGGTTGTGGGAGTTATCGCGAATAGCAAAAACAAAATGGGCTCCAAAATGGCATGGGAAACTTCCATCAACGATCGACGCTCGATCCATACCCAGTTAGCTGCCCCCCCACTGTGGGCGCTAGGGGGAAGCGGGGCACAAATAAAGAAACGTGCCTCTGGAGGCCCCGATCCTATCCGTGCCGCCTCTCTGGCCCCTCGTCTAGACAACGTGTCGATCGCCTTGCCCGGCAGTTGCCGCAGATCGGGGGTTGGCAGAGGTGCCCCTGGCCCAAGGTGCCCCCTGCTTTTCGCTCAGTTTTGGAGCCGCTGGAGCCCTCTGGGTCTCGTGAGGGGTGCTCTGGGGGCCGTCGGGGGCCTCTGTTGAAGTCCTGGGGGCACCTTGGGCCAGGGGCACTTCTTGCAAGACCCGAGCAGAACCCGCCAGGCCATCAGCTGCTCCCGGGAGCACCTCTGCGCTCGCGAGGACGAGCGCGCGCGCCTGGCGGCCGCCGGTGCGCTGCTCGTGCAGGCCCCCCCCGCTGGGCTCATCGCAGCGTCGGGGCTGCCCTCGCGGGCCTCTGCGGCGCCGCCGCCGTGGCCGCCGCCGGTGGTCGCCGCCGTCGTCGCCGCCGTCGTAGTCGCCGCTGTGGTCGCCGCCGCGGTCGCCGCCGCGGTCGCCGCCGATGTTGCCGCCGTGGTCGTCGGGCGTCTGCAGCGCCGCCGCCGTTCGTTGCGTGGTATCCGACCCCAACCTGAGCCTCGTGGTCGGTTTTGGAGGTCGCCGCGGCGATCGCGGCAGCCACAAATCGGACACAGGGTTCTGTGAAGGGGAGCATGCCCTTTCCCAGCCCCCCCGCTCTTCGATGTAGACATGGCTCATCATTCACGATGCAGCGGCAGAGACTTGTCAATCTATGTCCGAAATGGGCAGTCCTGCATTTTTGGTTCGGGGGGGTCGATTACCACTCAACCAGCCGTGGTCGCCGCCGTGGTCACCGTCGTCGCCGTACCCAGACCTCCGACGTTTTTGTTTGTTTGTTTGTTTTCTTTCAATCTGGGCATTTATCCCGAGATCCTGGCGTTGCATTTTTCACGCCGAGTGTTGTCGCCAGGTTAAGGGCCCCGGGACCATCACAGATCGATCCAGGGCGAAACATGCAATATAATCATATGGTCTCGGGGGTTGGTCGGAATTTTTAGCGGTGTTGCCTTTTTTCGCGAAGTTGGATCTCAGGGATTTCGGGCTCTGGGGCCAGATCTCCGACGACTGTATTGTTCCACCAGTAGCGTTTCGCTAGAGGTATCTAACGCTCGTCAGCGTGGGCCCCAAACGAATCTTTGTCAAGCAATCTATGTGGTGTAAGCTATGTGGTGCAATCTTTCTGTTGCGAGTTAAGTGGTGCAATACATGTGGTTCAATCTAGGTGGTGCAAGTTATTTGGCGCAGTATATGTGATGCGAACTATGTGGTGCAATTAATCTTGACCGTCTTGAAGCTGTCCTCTCCACTGCTCGTGCAAACATCCCACCCTCCCACCCGCAACTTGGTCGCAAGACCTCTTCAGACAAGACCGTGACGGTAGGTACCACATGGCATTTGGCCACGACACCGACGCCGACGACGACAGCGACATCGACGACGACGGCGCCGCCGACACCGACTGCGACGACACCGACGACGTCTCCAATGTTTTCGACGACGACAACGACGACGACGACACCGACGACGACGACAAACGACGCCGACGACGACGACGAAGACGACGACGACGTCGCCAACGGAGACGACGACGAGGGAGGAGAAAAAACGACGACGGCGACAACGACGACAACGACGATGGAGGAGGGAAGACGGCGACGACGCCAACGACGAAGAAGGAGGAAGGACGGCGACGCCGACGACGACAACGACGAGGGAGGAGGGAAGACGACGACGACGACGACGAAGACGACGACGACGGCGACGAAATAGGAGGGACGACGACGAGACGCCGACGACGGACGACGACGACGAGGGAGGAGGATAACGACGAGGGAGGAGTGAAGACCACGACGACGACGACGACGACGACGACGAAATAGGAGGGACAACGACGAGACGCCGACGAAGACGACGAGGGAGGAAGGACGACCACGGCGACAACGACGACGGAAGCGACGACGACGCCAAGACGACGACGACGACGACGAGGAAAGACAGAAGACGATGACGGCGACGACGACGACGACGAGGGAGGAGGGAGGACGACGACGACGACGACGACGCAAGAGCGCGCGCGCACGCTTTTGTTGAAAACCCGTGTTGCGAAACATTGTGTTTTTGTAAGTTGTTTAGACGCACGATTTTAAAATCCTTCGAAACCGAAGGTTTTTGAAGGATTTCGGCATACGCCCGCGACGACGCGCGCGTCTGCGCTTCGTCGCTTTTTTTGCAGAGGATTCTCGCGACCGCACACGCGCAATGGCGTTCGACAGATTTCGACATGTGCGCGCGCGAAGCCCGTTTGGTGGCATTTTGTGAAAATCTAGGAGAACCTATGGTTTTCTTAAGATTTCGCAAGAGCTCGCGCGTAAGCTTTCTTAGCAAATCAGTGTTGCGAAACCACGTGTTTTTGTATGTTTTTTTGGAAGTTTAATTTTTAAATCTCTCCGGAACCGAAGGTTTTTGAAGGATTTCGGCATGCGCGCGCGCGACGACGCGCGCGTGTGCACTTCGTCCCGTTTTTTGCAAGGGATTCGCGAACAAGTGCTATGTTAGAACAAACAAATGTCACCGCATAGTGTTTTTTTACAAGGGAACCTCAGAAGGGGGGGGAAACCGGCCTGCCTGGGATGGTACGATCTCATATTTAGGATGGACGAGTGTGCAGAATATATATGAAATTATTTTATCCCAGGGGGAAGCGTTAAGTCCGGGGGGGTAGAGCTAATTCTCTTTATTAGAAAGGAGAATCTATGTGGCGTGAGCTACGTGGTGCAGCCTATGTGGCGGAACATATGTGGTGCAGTATGTATATGTGTATACATACGGTGCAATTTATGTGGTGCAACCCACTTCGACTGTCTTGAAGCTGTCCTCTCCACTGCTCGTGCAAACATCCCACCCTCCCACCCGCAACTTGGTCGCAAAACATCTTCAGACAAGACCGTGACGGTAGGTACTGCGTGGCACTTGACCACGACACCGATGCCGACGACGACAGCGACATCGACGACGACGGCGCCGCCGACAGCGACTGCGACGACACCGACGACGTCTCCAATGTTTTCGACGACGACAACGACGACGACGACACCGACGACGACGACAACGACGCCGACGACGACGACGAAGACGACGACGACGTCGCCAACGGAGACGACGACGAGGGAGGAGAAAAAACGACGACGGCGACAACGACGACAACGACGATGGAGGAGGGAAGACGGCGACGACGCCAACGACGAAGAAGGAGGAAGGACGGCGACGCCGACGACGACAACGACGAGGGAGGAGGGAAGACGACGACGATGACAACGACGACGAACACGACGACGACGGCGACGAAATAGGAGGGACGACGACGAGACGCCGACGACGGACGACGACGACGAGGGAGGAGGATAACGACGGGGAGGAGTGAAGACCACGACGACGACGACGACGACGGCGACGAAATAGGAAGGATAACGACGAGACGCCGACGAAGACAACGAGGGAGGAAGGACGACCACGGCGACAACGACGACGGAAACGACGACGACGCCAAAGACGACGAGGAAAGACAGAAGACGACGACGGCGACGACGACGACGACGACGAGGGAGGAGGGAGGACGACGACGACGACGACGCAAGCGCGCGCGCACAATTTTGTTGAAAACCCGTGTTGCGAAACCTGGTGTTTTTGTAGGTTTTTTGGACGCACGATTTCGAAATTCTTCCGAAACCGAAGGTTTTTGAAGGATTTCGGCATACGCCCGCGACGACGCGCCCATTTTTTGCAAAGGATTCTCGCGACGGCGCACGCGCAAGAGCGTTCGACAGATTTCGACATGCGCACGCGCGAAGCCCGTTTGGTAGCATTTTGTGAAAATCTTGGAGAACCTATGGTTTTCATAAGATTTCGCAAGAGCTCGCGCGTCAGTTTTTTTTTGAATCAGTGTTGCGAAACCATTTTTTGTTTATATATATATAAAAAAATGTTTTTTTGGAAGTTTAATTTTTAAATCTCTCCGGAACCGAAGGTTTTTGAAGGATTTCGGCATGCGCGCGCCACGACGCGCGCGTGTGCACTTCGTCCCGTTATTTGCAAGGGATTCGTGAAAAAGTGTTATGTTGGAACAAAAAATGTCACCGCATAGTGTTTTACAAGGGAACCGCAGGGGGGGGGAACCCGGCTTGGCTGGGATGGTACGAGGTCATATTTAGGATGGACATGTGGTCAGAATCGCATGTAATTTACAGCACGCTCGGGGGAACCGATAAGTCCGGGGGGGGGTAGAATCTATTTGTCTTTTAGAACGGAGAATATATGTGGCGCGATATATGTGGTGCAAAGTATCTGGTGTTGGCTATGTTGTGCAGTCTATGTGGTGCAATCAGCGCAGTGCAGCTCATCTTGCAGGACTTGAAGTTGTCAACTCTGCTGCTCACGTAATCATCCCATCCACTCACCCTCAACGTGGTTTGTAAAACCCATGCGGCGGCGATTGTGATGACTGCTTGGCGCTTGCTGGCGCAGAACGGCTAGCTATTTTGGCGCGACCGTCGTGGCCTTTGTGGCGCTGGCCGCTGTGGACTTCCCAGCGCGTCTCGCAGGCCGCAATGACGCGCGGGCAATTCAGTGCGAGTCGTTGACTCGAACGGGCACGGTATCATGGCGACGCTGACAACGGCAGACACGATGATGATAGTAGCGGTGATGGTGGCGATGATGAGGATGACGCCGGCAAGGCCAATGCCGGCGCCGATGTTGGTCACGCCGATGACGATGATGGTGTCCAGGTGTCGGTGATGAAGCTTTGGGAAGGATTTCGGCATGCGCGCGGCCGGCGCGGCCGAGTGGCTCGCATGGTATTCTTTGACAGGGAGCGTGCCCCCCCAGCAAGCGCGCAAAGGCGTTCGAACGATTTCGACGCACGCGCGACAGGCCCGCCTGGCCGGATATTGTGGACATGTTGAAACGTTGTGGTGTTCATTCGAATTTGTAAGAGCGCGCATATTTTCCAGAACCATGTTGCCACGCTATGTTGTTTTTATGTCAAACATTTCTCTGGAACCGCGACCTTTAGATTTTTACATGGGAAGCCGAAACAACATCGGCCTTCGCCCGACGGCGCGCGCGTGTGGTTTTTCTTGCAAGGGACGTTTGCCAATTGATGACTTGTGATCTACGAGTGTGCCCGAGTAGTGTTATTTGACAGGGGGGCGATCGTCTCCTTGGGGCATGAAAGCGCCCTTGCAGACGCACGATGGGGCTGAATCGTATGTAGCCTGCGTTTTTTCTGGGGGTGCTGATATTTCTGGGGGTTGGGTGGATGTGACATACGAATTTTCCAGAAAGGAGAACCAAAGAGCCTCGCACAATCGCAATCGCGACCAGCACGTGGCGGCGACGGGCGGCCGCACGCCGGTTGGACCGGCGCACAGCCCCAGCTGCGAGCCTCGCACTCTCAGAATCGTGATCGCAATGGTAGACGGCAGAAGAATCCCACATGGGGGCCGAGGAGCTCGAGACCGCCTGGTTCAGCAGCCGTCTCGCCGGAGATTCCTGTTTCACTCATTCTGGAGTCGTGCCCTCGCTGCAACGCTGGCTACCTTTTTTGGTCCGCGCGGCCACGATCCTCCATACAAGAACACATTCCGGTGCACATGGTTGCGCTCTCACCCAATCCCGGCTGCATCTTTGCTGCTATTAGGATGCTTTGACGGGGTATTTTCTTTCATTTTGAGTGTTTTTCCTTGATTTCTGGTTCTGGAGCCAGGGCCATCAACAACGGGTCCAGGGCGAATAATTGGCCCGAGGGACGGGGTCGCCGCCGCCGTGGTCGTCGTGGTGGTCGCCGTTGTGGTCGCAGCCGCCGTCGCCGCCGTCGCTGTGGCCTTGCTCGGGAGAGTGTTCTTCGGGAATCCCAGAGGGTCTCGGCGGTCGTCGTCGCCGCCGCCGCCGTGGTTCCCGCCGCCGTCGCTGTCGCCGCCGACGTCGTCTTCGCTGTCGTCGTCTTCGCTGTCGTCGTCCTGCTTATGCGCCAGGGTTACAAATATCAGCAGGGAAGGCAACTGCAGCTTCAAACCAGGGCTTCCTTGGGGTCGAAAACTTCTCATGCTGTACCCACGCATCAATATGCTACTCAGAGGCAGGATCTTACCGAGTCCGTGCTCCTGGGTGTTAGGGTACTACAACTTCTTGACACCCCGATGGTTAAACAAATGGCTAGCCACTGGCACGAGTGGCTTTATGTTCTTGCCCTGCTTCGTGCTTTTCATGGCCAGGGTGCTTCAATCTTTTGACATGATTGCAGCCACACCTCAGGCAAGTGATTCGGATCCCTCGAGGGTAGGAGTTGACATGCAAGCAATGCCCCTGAGGGTTTGAAATGATGGTTTTCTAATCTTGAGGTGCGGGTTCTCGCCTGGGGGACTTGGTGGCGGTGTCACGGCTGCGCGGATGGGCCGTCCATCGCGCGGGCCGCTCAAACCTGTGAGTCGTATCGAGGGGTTGGCACGAGGTCTGCACAGAGCATGCAATAGCCACGCACTGCGGTACCAGAGCCACTCGTTGGGGCCAGGTGGGGCAGAGGACGGAGGAGGAGTTTGGCCGCTCATGGTGGACGGTCGGGAGCTGCCGCTACGGCGTCCCCTCTGGGCCACCTGGTGGCGGGGCCGACGTCCCTGATGAGTAGCCTGCTTCCTTGCCCGCGCGGAGCGCCGCATGAGCACTCCTCGCCCGCGGGGGAGGGAGGTGGGACCGAACCTGGACGAGGGGCCTCCTTTCGGCAGTCCTGTCGATGGGCGTCCAAGAGCTCCGGGGCAGACGGACCACACCTACTGAGCAGCTCCACTCCCCTTCCTGCCCTCTGCCCTGACTTCGTCCCTCCGTCCGTCCATCCCGTGTCTCCTTCGCCTTGCACTCCCTTCCCCACCCTTCCCTTTACGTTCCCCCATCCTCTCCTCCCCTCCCCCCCCCTCCCTCCCCACTCTCTTTCTGTCTTCCTTCCGTCCTCGGCTCCCTCCCCTCCTTTCCGTCTTTCCCGCTCTGCTCCCCCTCCCCTCCCCCTCCCCTCTCCGCCCCTCTCTCCGCCCGCCTCTCCTCTTCCCGCCTCTTCCCTCCCCTCTCCTTCCCCCCCCTGCCACCTTGCAAACAACTCCCTCCATACCTGTATAGCCTATAGACCGATCTGGACCACCCAAAGCGTCGGTCGGAAGCTAAACTCAAGCATCTTGGTGCTGCTGTTCTTTAGACCTCCTGGAAGGTCGGGGGACTCTCCTTTTCCCCTAAGACCCCCGACGTCATGATTTTTTCTACAACGTGGACCCCCAGAGGTCTCGACACCTTGCTGGTGACTGGCTTCTCGTCCGGAGTCTTCCTTTGACATTGCCGTTGGGCTCCGTCGGGGTCCCCAGGTGAGGCAAACTGCCGGGGGGCCTCCCGCCGTGCCTTGTTCACAGTGCGAGGAGGCCTGGGCCTCGCCTTGCCTCTCCTCCCCTCGAGATTTTGGCCGGCCCGATCCGCTTCGATCCCGACAGTCCGACGACCCGATGCGGCCCGATGCCTGCGTGGCACTGCTGTGCATCCTGGCGCCGCCGATCCGACTCGATCCTGGCTCCGTGCCCCCTGTGGCCCAACCCGGTGCACATCCCCATGCGAGCCGATCTCGGGATCCGACGCTGGCTGCTCCTGCACCCCCCCCCCACCTCGCCGGGGGAGGGCGGAGCGGCGCCACCGCCGCCACCCGGGGGGGCCACCTCCGGCGAGGAGGTCCGTGCTGCCTCCCCGAGCTGGGGACAGCAGCTGTCTCGAGCGGGAGGGGGGGCCACACCGCCGGGGGGCCCCTCTCGCGGGCTCCTCCCGCGGGGGGTCCCCGGTGGCGGCGGTGGTGTCGCGCCCACGCGCGACGCTCGCCGGGTCTCCTCCTCTCCTCGGCGAGCACCGCCGAGGAGCCGCCGGGGCGCTGCTGCCCCTCGGGGGGAGGGGGCCGCGGAGCGCCAGAGGCGCGGAGGTGTGCCGCTCCTCCTCGCTCCACCACCGCCGCCCGCGGCAGGACCACCGCGGCGCGTGGTGGGCCGGCCGCCCGGACCGGCCGGAGCTCGTGCGGAACCGCCAGCAGGGCTACGAGGACGCCGCGGGCCCCAGGTGCGCCGCGAGCCTCGCGCCTCCCGCCTCGAGCCCCGATGCTCGAGCCTCGATCCTCGCTCGAGCCTCGGGCCTGCCTCGATCCTCGGTCCTCGATCCTCGATCCTCGATCCTTGCCCTCGACCCTCGAGCCTCGAGCCTCCAGCCTCGAGCCTCGAGCCTCCAGCCTCCAGCCTCGAGCCTCGAGCCTCGAGCCTCGAGCCTCGAGCCGCGACGCGGGCCCGAGGTGCACCACGGCCGCGTCCCGCGGCTTCGGGGACCTGCTGCTGAAGCAGCCGCCGGCTCCCGTGCTCACCGCCAGAGCCCGCGGTCGGCTCGCCCTCGCCGCGAGGGCCCACCAGCCACCCGCGGGCGGAAGGCACAGATTCAGGAGGGGAAAGAACACACAGACACAATTCATCGTCGATTCCCAACAAAATATGGGACAACTTGTGAACTGGGGGGGCAGACAAGACCCAGAAAACATGGGAAAATATATGGAATCCTGTTATTCGTGTCTATTTATTTGTGTGTCCCAGGGCCCCTTCACAGATGTGCTCGCGGGCCCCCCTGGACCTGGGCGTGGCGAAGTCTCGCGTCGGGCATTCCCGCCCGGTCGCGGGCCCCAGGACCATCACGGGTAGATCTGGCTCGAGACGTGCCGCAGAAAACAGGGGCAAAGACAGGGGGTGATAGGCACAGGGGAATGCATCGCCCTCCTCCTCCTCCTCCTCCTCCTCCTCCTCCTCCTCCTCCTCCTCCTCCTCCTCCTCGCCCTCCTCAATCGCCCACTGATCCCCGAGAGGGGCCCGATAGCCCGCAGTCGCCCAGGAGCGTGCGGATGCACCTCCGGGGGCCCGTCGCCGATCTATAGTTCGTTACCGGGGGCCCCTCGCCGATGCCTCGGCGCCGCATCGCCGACTCCGGGTCGATGGGTTCCCCCCTGTATGCCAGTCCCCCCTCGGGGGTGGACAGAACCCCCAACAGTGACACGTCGACTAGTGAGTTGTCCGTTCTCGGTTCTCGAGAGGGCGCCGCGGCCGTTCTTCTCCAGGCCTGCGCCCGCCAGGTTGGGGCCTCAGGTCGTTTTCGCTAAACCACGTTCCACTAAAGGGAGGTCTGTCCATCCCCGACCCCCCGTTGTCGTTGCCCCTCACGAAAGGTGGGTCTATGGCTCCTCCCGGGGTGTTTCGCGAGGCTGCCATGTTTCGCGATCTGACCCTCAGAGGGGGACGTGCGCCGCAGGCTTGGGCCGCAGATCTCTGTTCAGGAGGTAAAAAAACACACAGACACAATTAATCGTCGATTCCCCAGAAAATATTGGAAATATCGTAAGTGGGGGGGAAGACAAAAACCCAAAATATATGGGAAAACATTGGGAATCCTGTTACTCGTGTGCATTTATTTGAGTGTCCCTGGGCCCCTTGATCTGTTCTCCTGAGCCTGGGGCGGCCTGGGCTCAGACATCCAACGCGTTGGGAGATCAAGACGCGAGTCGTTCGCCGTCTCCCCGGAGATCCTGGCGTTGCACTTGTTTTTCCACAGCGGGTGTCTCTTCGCACCACCTCGGGCCCGGGGCCCTCCCAGATCGATCCGGCTCGAAAAGCGACGCAGAAGTGTGGGGGGCCCAGGGCTCCTGTCGTGATCTTTTGCGATGGTGCATGTTTTTTGCAGCGTCGGATCTCTGGGTCCGGCGCCTGGGGGCCCTCACTGGGCAAAGGGACCGCCACATAACGCCTCGTGACGAGGAGCCGCTCCCTGGGAAGGGCCCAGACCTCTGGGGGCCCGCGTCGTGGCACAGAATCGTGACCCCTGTTGTCCGGGGCGGCCTCGAGATCCGGCGCGGAGGCTGCCAGGCCATCGCACCGGAGCAAAGTCACCGAGGTCGGGTGGCCTCCAGGGGCAGCGATAGGGGGGGGGGACAGGCACATGTCGGGGACCCCCAAACGGGGTGGTGACCACACCGTGTGGTGAGTCGGTGTGGATTCGGGGTCACCACGCGGTTTTGGGACTTGGGTCGTTCTCCGAGGATGTCTCGGGCGACTGGAGCCTCCAGGGTCCCAAAACCGTGTGGTGACGGACCGTGCGGTGAGGTCTCTTGGGGTTCCGAGGTCACCGCACGGTCTGTCACCGCACGGTCTTGGGATCCCTAAATATGGGGAGGGCGCACCGACCCCCAATCGCCCATTCATCGCCGACGGGCCCGATCGCCCCACCCCGCCCAGGAGCGTGCGGATTCGCAATCGGGGGCCTGCCGCCGATCTGGTGATGCATCGCCGCTTCCAGGTCGATGTTTCCCCCCCTATGCCAGTCCCCCCCTTGCCCCTCGGGGGGGGGGTGCGTGGCGAAGCCCGAGAGGAAGTCCGACCTTCGCGCAAGGCGGGGCTCGCTTGCACGGTTTTTCGGCCCAGCGCCGCTTGATACGGCGGCGGAGGGGTGGGGGAGGTGGAAATGCCATGCAAGTCAATTCGGCCACGCGCAGAGGGGGTTATGGGGGAGGAGGGAAGGCTTCTGAGAACCCCCCCTGCTTCTTAGCAGCTGCGGGCCTCGTCCACAGGTGTAGGGCCGGCGCCTTCTAAGAAGCAGCCTCCCTCAAGAAGCCTTCCCCCCTTCCCCTACCTCTTGTGCGCGCCGCACGCAGGCTTGCCCGGGTCTGCAAAAGACAGCCTCTGAGGGTTGCCTCCAGAGGCGCCCCTCGCGAGGCCCGGGCCGGGGGCGCCCAGGGGCTCCCGAGGTGGGGCGGAGCGCCGTCGCCCTCTGGCCCAGGAGCGTTCCAGCACAGGCTGGCCGTCCGCCGCCTGGGGGAGCGATCTTCGGGGACCTTGGCTGCAGTCAAGCCGCAGAGTAAGGAGGAGCGATTTTCCAATGTTGCCCTCGCAGCCTTCCCCTTCGGCCCATCCTTGGCCGCCTCCGCTGGCCGCGCCCCGCCCACAGAGTGTCGGCATGGCCTTCGAAGGCGACCTTGTTCGAAGGATTGAGTGCAATATGGGCACCTAACTGCTTACTCATCTGTTTTGTGACATTTGGCTCGCCTGGGGCCCGAAGGCATCCGCGGCCACCGCCTGCCGAGTTCCCCGAGTGTCGGTGCCCGGACATCCGGTGCCTTGGCTTTTTTCAGTGCGAGGCTCCTGCAGGTCCCGAGCCTTTCTCTCTTTTGGCCGTCCTGGGGCCTGGCACGGGCCTCGGGTGGCCGAAAACGGCTTACAACTTACCGCCGTGAGTTTTTCACGACGCGACAATGTCCGTTCTCTCTTTTGGCCGTCCTGGGGCCTGGCACGGGCCTCGGGTGGCCGAAAACGGCTTGCAACTTGCCGCCGTGAGTTTTCCACGACGCGACCATGTCCGGGTCCCCCTGGCGGTGGCTACTGACATGCATCATGAGCTGACGACCGCCCCCCGATTTGTCGGGGTGGACTTTGGATGCGTGTTGTCGGACGGGGTTCCCCCGCTCTCACGGAGGCTCCCTGGTGGTCCGACAACCCGCGCCCGTACCTAGAGCGCAGCCTCAGATCGCGAGGCGTGGGTCAGCCCCCCTTCCAGTGTGTGTGTGTGTGTGTGTGTGTGTGTGTGTCGGCTCTTGGCAGCACATCATGGGAGCCTTCTTTACCCTCGTAAATCCGTCTTTACAACACATTCGTGTCGACTAGCGTCTGGTAATCGATGAGGTAGTGCCGATTTAGCGCCGATTGGCGTCGATGAGCGTCGGATCAGCGTCGATCAGCGTCGATTAGCGTCGAATCGCAAGAGCCAGCAAGGTGGCACGGGAGGCTCCCACGAGTTGCCGCAGAACCGCCCGTTCGTCTCGAGAGTCCCCGCCTCGAAGCACCGTCGGAGCCGAGGGCCCGGCCCTCGGGCGCGTCTCGGCGAGCCGACCGCGGGCGCCAGCCCGGACGTGCACGTGGTGGACCTCGTGCCCGAGGACTGGGCCATCGTGCTGGCGGGGCACTGGCTCACCAGCAGGCTGTCCGAGCAGGAGTGGGGGGGGGGAAGCTCACCAGTCTGGACGCTTCGCGTGGCCCCACCACGCCATCCAGAGATGGTGCCCAGGCGGGTTGCCCTGATCGGGGATGTGGAGGAGCATGCAACGGAGCAGCCGGCAAGGGAAGCCAGCATGCACAGAGAGGGGGGGAGGATGGAGAAGGGCGGAGGAGGGAGGGGGGGAGGAGGAGGAGGAGGAGGAGGAGGAGGAGGAGGAGCAGGAGGAGGAGAAGGAGGAAGAGGAGGAGGAGGAGGGGGGGAGGGGGAGGAGGAGGAGGAGGAGGAGGAGGAGGAGGAGGTGGAGGAGGAGGAGGGAGAGTGCGAGCAGAATGGCCAGAGCCCTCTTGGATGCCTCTCGGCGTCTTTTCAGAAAGCTCTTGAAAGCTTCTTGGACTTCTCCTGGGGCGTCTTGGGGGCTTCTTGGCGGTCCTGGGGGCCTCTTGGAGCGTCTTGGGTGCCTCGTTCGAGCCTCTTGGGTCTCTTCAGAGTCTCTTGGAAGTCTCTTGGGGACCTCTTGGGGGCCTCTTGGTGTCTCTTGAGCGCCTCTTGCGGCCCTCTTGGGGTCCTCTTGGGAGCCTTGGGGGCCATCTTGGGACCATCTTGGAGCAAGTCGATTCAATAAGGGTTAGGGGGTGTGCGGGTTCCACGGTGTTTTCTCGATATTCCAGAACGGCCCCCCCACAGGAAATGTGCAGGCCCAACGGCGACTTCGGTTGGGGTTTGGCGGTCAGAAGAAAAACGATTATCATGACCAGCCCTGAGATCCTGCGAGGAACAAAGAACAATATACATAACAACTTTCGGAGGTCCGCGCGGCTTTCTTGGACGTGCATTGGGGTCCTCTGGCTGCGCCGTTGGCGCCTCCCCTGGCGCGCTCCGCGCGCCAGGGAGGGGGGTTCAGCGCAGATTCAAGAAATCCGGACGGACCTCTGGCAATATTTTGTTTTGGTGCTTTTTCTTCCTCTTCTCCCGGCGTCGCATTTTTTTCAGGACGTGCGTTTTCGCTCAGTGCTCGGCCCCAGGACCATGGCAGATCGATCTAGCTCGAGAACTGCCGCAGAACGATGGGGTCTATGGCTCCGATTGTGACTTTTCATGATGTTGTTTCTTTTCGCGACGTCGGATCTCAGGGACGAAGCACGAGAACCATGACCAATACTTCGCGGGATCGTCTCGACATTGGCCGTGGCCATGGTCCATGCCAGCCGTCGCCGATGCGCGAGGATGCTCTACGAATTAATGGTGGTCAAGATGACAGTGACCAAGATCGACACCGACGTTCTCTTAGATCCGACGATGCGAAGAAGTTGCGATATCGCGGAGAATCATGACCAGAGCCCAAGATCCAACTGTTATGCGTATTTTCGCGAGCCAGAGCGATCTGTGATGGTCCCAGGGGCCGCAACCAGGCGAACACGCGCGGCGTGAACAAAAATACAACGCCTGGATCTCAGGGTTTCCGCGTTCATGTCTTTCATGGTCATCGGTGAGGCTTCGAGATGCTCGCAGACAGCCCCCCATGTAGTCCCGGCTTGCCTTAACAGCCCCCCGACAGTCCCCCGAGAAGTCCCAGCTTCCCCGAGTAGTCCAGGGCGGGTTCAACACCCGAACGCCCCAATGGCGCAGCCCGAGGCGGCGCCAGGGAGAGAAGACCGCCCCGGACTACTTGTGGGACTTGTTGAGGCCAGCTTGAGCTTCTCGTGGGCCCTGCTGATTGCGCAAACAGAGGCCATACCAGTCATGGTCCTTCTTTTTCTTTCCCTCTTAAGGTTTCCGCGTTCATCGGGCGGGGCCACTGCATCGAGCCTCCTCCTCCTCCTCCTCCTTCTCCTTTTTGGCGAGCCGACAGTCTGTTAGACAATTCTGTTTGACAGTTCCGCGTCGTGTGAACGTTTGTTTCACGCGTGTGTGCTGAACTTGGCATGCAGGTAAAAAAAATGAGCACCAGGAACGTACCGAAACTAGAAGGTTTTCACGTGCCAGGCCTTGGGAGGGGATACTCGTTCGACACAATTTCAATACTTTTCTGGGTGCTCGAAATTATTTCTGGGATGTGGTCCTTAAGTTCGATGGGAACAACATAAGTCTGCACTGACATTTTTATGTTAGCTGCCCGCGTAAGGTTGCCCGCAGGCGCCCTCACTTCCATTTTAGCATGCCTGGCTGGCCGCGGCGTGGGGTTGCCATGCCATTTCGCGTAAGACCCGTTTCTCTTCGTCGCCCAGTTGTCGTCGTTTTGTTCCTGTTGAACTCTCACTATTGAAGCATAATTATTGTTGATCCCCCCCTCCGGTGCACATGGCTTTTTTCTCAATTGAAGTGCCTCTTCCGGCGCTCGCACCCGGTTTTTTATCAGGGAAAGTCTTCCTCTTCAAACTGGGCCATTGGCCCCCGGGTTACAACAACAACGGCTCCCGCCTGAGATTTCTCCACAATTTAGCCAGGACCCCGCTCCCGCCTGAGACTTCCTCGCATTTTATTCGGGAACCGCGCTCTCGCTTGGGACTTCTTTACGATGTATTCAGGAATCGCTCTCTCGGCGCTCTGGAGTCGCGCTCTCGCTGGAGACTTGCTTGCAATTTACTCAAGAATAGCGCCCTTGCGTTGGAATTTCCTGCAATTTACTCAAGCGCCGCGATCCCGACACTCAGGCACCCAGGAGTCGCACTCACGCTTAAGACTCCCTCAAAGATTATTCAAGATCGGGATCTCGCTGCCCTTCGTGGCCCCGGTGCAGCCCTTCGTGGCCCCCTCGCTGCCCTTCGTGGCCCCGTTGCAGCCCTTCGTGGCCCCCTCGCTGCCCTTCGTGGCCCCGTTGCTGCCCTTCGTGGCCCCCTCGCTGCCCTTCGTGGCCCCGTTGCAGCCCTTCGTGGCCTCCTCGCTGCCCTTCGTGGCCCCGTTGCAGCCCTTCGTGGCCCCCTCGCTGCCCTTCGTGGACACGTTGCAGCCCCTCGTGGCCCCCTCGCTGCCCTTAGTGGCCCCGTTGCAGCCCTTCGTGGCCCCCTCGCTGCCCTTCGTGGCCCCGTTGCAGCCCCTCGTGGCCCCCTCGCTGCCCTTAGTGGCCCCATTGCAGCCCTTCGTGGCCTCCTCGCTGCGCTTCGTGGCCCCGTTGCAGCCCCTCGTGGCCCCCTCGCTGTTCTTCGTGGCCCCGTTGCAGCCCCTCGTGGCCCCCTCGCTGCCCTTTGTGGCCCTATGCATGTATGCCTTTCGTGACCCCCGCTCGTTCGCGCCCGTCGTGGCCCCATATGCATGCCCTTCGTGGCCCCGTTGTCGCCCTTTGTGGCCCCCTCGCTGCCCTTCGTGGCCCCGTTGCTGCCTTCAGTGGCCCCGTCCTTGCCTTCCGCGGCTCAATATTTGTATGCCCTTCGTGGTTCCCGCTCGTTCGCGCCCGTCGTGGCCCCCTGTGCATGCCCTTCGTGGCCCCGTTGTCGCCCTTTGTGGCCCCCTCGCTGTCCTACTTGGCCCAGTTGCTACCCTCAGTGGCCCCTTCGTTGCCTTCTGTAGCCCCGCATTATCTGCTCTTCGTGGCCCCCGCTCGTTCGCGCTCTTCGTGGCCATACGCATTCCCTTTGTGTCCCCGCTGTCGCCCTTCGTGGCCTGCTTCGTAGCCTTCGCTCGTCGTCGTCGTCGTCGTCGTCGTCGTCGTCGTCGTCGATGTCGTCGTCGTCGCCGTCGTCGTGGTCGGTTCCCTCCTGTCCGTCCCTCTTGGGGTCGGGTTGCCGCCGATCGGCGCTGCCGCTGGCCAGGCCGACGGTCCGCGGCCGCCCCGCCGCTTGCCGGGGCCCCCAGTCGCTCGTGCCCTCAGTGGCCCCACTGCTGCCCCCCGTGGCCCCGCTGCTGGCCTCAATGGCCCCCTCTTGGAAGCTCGCCAGGTGCGCTCACGTCCCGCACGCCCGACCCACCCGTTAGGGTCCGCCCGCGGGTCTGCAGGCCCCGCCCGCCCGACCCGCCCGTTGGGGACCGCTGCCCGACCCAGCCGTCCGGGGCTGCCGCTTGTTTTCCGGATCCTCTCTTAAGCCCCCCCCACCTTCTAATCTCTCTCGTCCGCAGTTCTGCTCCCTCCCTCTTGTCCCTTGCTTCCCTCCCTTCCCTCACTCCTTTCCTTCTCGCTTGCTCTCTCTCTCTCTCTCTTTCTCTCTCTCTCTCTCCCTCTCTCTTTCTGTCGACCTATCTCTCTCTCTTTCCTTCCTCACCCCCCTTGCTCTTTTAGGGGCTGCGCCCAACACGCGTGCCTTAACTCAAGTGCCTTAACTCACGTCCTTTTTCTCACTTGCTGCCACACTTTTTCGTTCTGAAGCCCCTTTTCCGGTCTCTCTCTCTCTCTCTCTCTTTACTTCGATGGCTTTGCCCGGTACTCCTGTCAGGCAATTGTTTAAACAGCACAGGGTCCACAGCCCACTTCATGAGATGGATGGGCTTGACGACAACGTTGGAGCAAGGGGTTCAGGAACTGGAGGATCTGGGGCGTCAGCAGGGGAGAACACCACGAACGCAATCACAGGAACTGCCCATGGACTTCAACAACATCATGAACAGGGGGAAATTCACTAACGTTTTCTTCTATGGCACGTCTTTTGGAGCAGCATTTGGCACCAATACGCCAAGACATATCAGCCATAAAGTTGCATGGAGTTTCTCGCGACGACCTTGACGGAACTCTCCAACCGATCATGCAAGACATGGAGGCTATTTCACAGCGAGTGGAAGTACTAGAAGCGAAGTCGGTCCAATACACTCCGCGCTCGGACGGCACGGAAATCACCCAGGGATCATTGCAACATCGTTTGGCAGAGTTGGAAACCATGATGAAGAATCTATCGACGGCGAGTGGAAAAACAGACGCTGCGACGGCAGTGTTCGGTGGCTTGGACGGGCTTTCCTCCTTGGAGGAGGCAGACAAGTTCATCAAGGCGGAGCCTCGCAAGGCGAAGGTCTCACCACCCGTCGACATCTTCATCAAAGGGGACACATTTTCAGGCCTCGTTTTCGGCAAGATGGCCAACCCGGACGACCTCCAGACAGTCGTTCACAAGTTCCGGACCACATCCATCACGTGCTCTGGAAAAAGGGTGTGGGCGAATCAAGACCAACCTGTCCATGTACGTGTCCCTCTTCGTTTTCTTTTTGGCTTCAAGAAGTTGCTCACCAACTGGGGTTTCAATTCTAAAGCTATCAAAGTTGATGATGTGGCTCTTACTTTGAAGATCGGTGCTGACACGATTCTGTCTACAACCTGCTCGGGGAAGAACTTGGCAATTACGTGGTTGAGCGAGGGGTGGAAGAATTGGGGGTATCTTCGCAACGACGATGATTACAAGGCGCTTTACAAGGCGACGGTCAAACCACGTTTCACCCCCTACCTTGACAGGGGATTTGCATGTGCATAGCAAGAATGCGAGATTACGAACGAATGCGCAAATAGTTGAATTAATTGCTGAATTGACATATGTGGAGTGGGATATCATAATGTTCAGCGAGACCAGGGCGACATCAACAGAACTTACATTAGAAGGTGGGCATACATTGTTTTTACATTTGGATGGTTATGCTGCTGCGGGCGTTGGCGTCTTGGTGCACGAACGCCACGCTCAGAATATTCGCCGGGTATGTGCTGAGGCCGGCCGCATGATCGGGTTAGACATAGTATTGGGAAGAAACGCATGCACATTTATTTCCACTTCTGTTCCTCATGCTGGTTTTTCTCTGGATGAGTTCACCGAGTTCTACGACCGGCTTGACAAGATCAGATCACAGGGCTGTATTTGCACACTTGACTATGAGAATCCGTACCCGGAAGCGCCAGCAGAAGTGGAATCATCGAGGTTGGCAACCGCGTGATGATGCGGATTATGGTCATGATTTGGACGTTCACTTGCAAGGCAGTCCTCCAGGTAATCTGTCCGACTTGGACGCGTGCTTGGCCGCCGTTGCACCGGGGCGCGCCCAACAGCAGGAAGAGCAAACATGTTTCTGGAATCATACTGCTTTCCAGGAGCTGTTGCGTCAACGTCGACCTCTCCCACGCGGGTCCGCAGCCAGACGGGGCATGTCCAAACGTATTCGCAGAACTGTGCGTGCAGAGTTGCGGAGAAGAAAAGCGAGGCGCACCGAACAGATCCTCGGCGAGTTCTGCGATCTACATCGGCTCGCTGCAACTAAGTTCTTTCCAGCCCAAAGGAAGAAGGACGCAGTCGATGCGCAATGTCCCCCTGGATCACTGGCGGGCTTCCTGGAGAACATATTCTCGTCTACAGCGGTGCCGCCGCCGGAGATGACGGACCAACGCGTGTTTACCAACATTCCCCAGTCTACCAAGATGGAGCTTACAAAAGCGATCCGGTCTTTGAACAATAAGAGGGGCGCCGACACGGATGGCATCGTCGCCGAGATGTTCAAGCACGCCTCCGATGAATTTACCGATTGGTTATTGTTTTTCTACAGCCAGGTTCTGCTTGCGGGCGAAGTGGAATATTCTTGGAAAGACACGGTGTTTGCAATGCTCCCTATGTCTGGGGATTTGGCACAGCCGAAAAACTGGAGACCGATAGCCATTCTCAAGAAAACTTGCAACATATTCTCCCGCATGCTGTGCCATCGCTTGCGGGGCGTCCTCGAACGCGCGCAAGGGCTGGACCAAGTAGGCTTCAGGCCGAACCACTCGGTCGATGACGCGTTCCTGGTCTTCGAAGTGGCATGCAGCAAATGCATGGAATGGCAAGTGCCGCTGTGGTGCGCCAGTTTGGATTTGACCAAAGCATTTGATCGGATTGAGTACGGCCCTCTCTTTAATGCCTCCGGCGCCAAGGCCTTGATGAAGACTACGCTGCCTTGCTGGCGAGGCTGTATTCTGGACAGATGGGCAGCGCGTCGGGCGCGCGAGCTTTTCGCGTCCAGCGGGGGGTTAAGCAAGGCGACGTCATCAGCCCGATGCTGTTCAACGCTGGTTTGGAGTTGGCAATGGAGAGATGGAAAATCCGCATGTGTCACGCCGGGTTGTTCATGGGAGCGGGCGAAAAACTCACGAACATACGTTGCGCTGATGACATCATGTTGTGCGCGAGTTCTGCCGACGAGCTGGCCGCCATGATGGAAATTCTTATTGGGGAGCTTGGCGCAGTTGGTCTCCAGCTAAATCCGGAGAAGACAAAGGTTCTTACCACGGAGGAGGGGATGGAGACTATGTTCATTGAGATTGGTGAGCACGTGCTGAAAGTCATGGGAGGCAATGATGTCCACAAGTATTTGGGAAAAAGTACACCCGGGAGTTTGAAACATCGTAGCGATATCGAGTTGGGTCGACGATTCCAGCGAGCTTGGCACACATTTCATTAACGCCGCCATGTTCTCACAGACCAGAACGTATCCGTAAGACTGCGGCTGAAGCTTTTCCAATCAGTCGTTACACTTACATTGTTGTTCGGACTATCGGCTGCGGCGCTGACCAAGCATCGAGCGCAATCCCTGGACGTCCTTCAGAATAAGATGCTTCGCTTGGTTGTTGGTTGGGGGCGTTGCGAGGGCGAGGACTGGGCAGACACCATGAGACGCATGAGGGGCAGAATCGCCAATGCACTGCAGATCTTTCCGATTGAAAAATGCATTACCGCCGCCTATTCAGATTCGCGTGCAGATCAGCATGCTCGGACACGGAATGGACTCAGAAAGTCATAGTATGGAACCCGCGCTACGCGCATGGGGCTACGCGGCGCGCGGGCGCCTTCCGACGAGATGGGGCGACCGCCTCCAAGGATTCGCCCGCGATGTCTTGCATAATGTATCTCGCTGGTATGACAGTATGCACGATGGTGACGAGGACGCATTCGTCGAGTATTGCATTCACGAGTGAGGACCGCCCCCGTTCTTTTCTTTCCTCCCCCCTCCCCCCTCCGAGGCACAACGTTTGCTCTCCGTTTACGCGCGTGTGCGCTCAGGCCACTGTGCTGGGGCCTCGCCCGTCTACGGGCCAACCCATGTGGTCTGACCGGGCCTCTGTCTGTTTGTCTGTCTGCCCAACACGCGTGGCAGGTCGGGAAGATGTGCCCCCTAGAGGGGCTACGATCGAAGACGAAGAGGGCGGGTGTCGGGGGTTCGGGATATACATGGTAAGGTACGCGCGAGTAATTCAGAAGGAACAGTCTTAACATGATTGTTCTTGTTGTTGTTATGATGATGATGATGATGCTGATGCTGATGGTGCTGATGCTGATGATGGTGATGATGATGGTGATGATGCTGATGCTGATGCTGATGATAATGCTGCTGATGATGATGATGATGATGATGACGATGATGATGATGATGAGGGTGATGATGATGATGATGCTGATGATGATGATGATAATGATGATGATGATGATGATGATGATGATGATGCCGCTGCTGCTGCTGATGCTGCTGCTGCTGATGATGATGTTGTTGCTGTTGCTGTTGCTGCTGCTGTTGTTTTTTGTTGTTGAGCTCTTACTATTGAAGAGTAATTATTGTTGATCCCTCCTCTGGTGACCACTGCATTTTTTCAATTGAAGTGCTTCCCCTGGGGCTCGCACGCTGTTTTCTTAACAGGGAAAGTCACGGGGTTCAAACTGTGTTGTTGGGCCGCCGGTTTACAACAGCAGCGGCTCCTGCCTGATACTTCCTCACAATGTATGCCCAAATCGCGCTCTCGCGCGGAACTTCCTCACACTTTGTATACGAATCGCGCTCTCGCGGGGGAATTCCTTGCAGTTTATTCAGACGATGCGCCCTCGGCGCTCAGGAATCACGCTCCCGCCCTTGCTTTTCTCACGATTTACTTGGAAATCGCGCTGTTGCTCGAGACTTCCCCGCGATTCATGCAGGACCCGCGCTTCAGCCACCCGCCTGGTGGACCTGGTCGCCTCGGCCCGCCTTCCCGACCTGCCCGCTATGGGTCTGCCCCGATCTGCCTGCCTGGTTCTACCACTTGTTTCCCGTTCCTTGCCCCCCTCCTGCCAATTTCTCTCGTGCTCCAGTCTTCTCCCTCCCCCTTCCGACCGTCTTCTCTCCCCTTGTTTTAGGGGCTGCGCTAAATTCACGTGGCAGGTAAGGGAGATATCCCCCCAGGGCGGGCACCGAGGGGTCGGGATATACGTTTTGATTGGTACGTGAGCAGACAGGAGCGAACAGTCTTAAGATGATTGTTGTTTGTTTGTTTTCCCAAAACCATCCTGTGGTGTTGGGTCCTCGTTTTGAATAGACAGCGCCCCGCGTCTCCTTCCTTCCTTCCTCCTCCCCCTCCTCCCTCCTCCCCCTCCTTGCCTCTGCACTCGGCATACCTCTCACACGTTTCGTAACCCCATAGGGAGCTCCACCGAAGGCCCCAGTGGTTGCTCTCGCATGCGTTTCCCCCGCCCTGGGCAGCGTTTCGTGGCCCCCTAGGGAGCTCCACCGAAAGCGGCACCCACAACGCGTTACGAACAATTTCTTATGGTTGGGTCTTTCGCCAGGATAATTTTTTCTCCCCTCCGCAGGAGGTGGCGGACATCTGCTGGGACGCCATGGCGGTCCAGGGCGGCGGGCCCGTGGAGGCGGCGCAGGCGCTCACGCGCCACGCGCTGCACCGCGGCGCCGAGGGCAACGCGACGGCGATCGTGATGCGGCTGGGCTGGAGCTCGGGAGGAGGGGGAGGAGGGGGAGGAGGAGGAGGAGGAGGAGGAGGAGGAGGAGGAGGAGGAGGAAGACGGGCGGCTCAGCCAGGGGCGACCTCACCGGCCCCCAGCAAACCATTCCCTTCCGTGCCGTCCCCCTTTGCCTCGCCCCGAGGCGTCTGTATGCGGCCAGAGGGGCGCTTGAGAGGCGAGGGCGGCGTCACCGAAGGGGATGGTCTGCTGGGGGTCGGTGAGGCCGCGCCCGACTCAGCTGCTCCCCCCGCCTTCGGTAGCAGCTCATGGGAGCCTTGCATGTCTTCGACATTCCGTAATCGATGAGAAGGCGCCGGTTGAGCGCCGAGTGGCGTGGCGTCGATTTAGCGTGGATGAGCGTCGGCTTGCTGTGATTCGCAAGAGTCAGCAAGATGGCACGGGAGGCTCGCGTGATCCGCGGACGACCTGCATGCACCGCACCGTGTTGGCGTCTCCCGAGGCGCCGTCGATTCCCGTCCCAGGAGTGGCGTGGGCCCCCAAGAAACCAGTTTGAGCGAGGTCAGAGGGGCACCGGTGGGCGGTCGCAGATGCGGCCACGGCGCGCATGGCGGCCGGCCGAGGACGCGCGCGTGCGCGCGCCGCCGACCGCCGCGCGCACAACGGTGTAGAGATTGGGGTCGTTGGAGGCTTGCACTTGCTGCTTCTGTGCAGCACCGGCGACCCGCCGCCGCTCTCTCGGTGCAGGGCCGAGCAGATCTTCGGGCAAGGCCGTGGCCTGCAGCTGCCACGAGCGCTACGCGGGGGGAAACAGGCAGGAGGGGGAGGAGGCGGAGGAAGAGGAGGAGGAGGAGGAGGAGGGGGAGGAGGGGGAGGAGGGGGAGGAGGGGGAGGAGGAGGAGGCGAGCCCCTCCTGCCACCGTCTCTCGGGGCCTCCGGGAGCGCGCCTGCGGGTCGGGCGCGCCCGCGCGCCGCGGGCGCTGCTGCCCCCCGGCCTGCTCGGCGGCGAGGCGCGGAGGGCGGCGTGGCGCCCGGCCCGTCGGCGGCCGCCCGCGCCCGCCGCGCCCGCCGCGCCCGCGGGCTGACGAACGGACAGCACGCACCCATACCCACAGGGGGGTCGTTGGGAGGAGGACTGGCTATGGGTATGGGTGCGGGTTGTCGGACCCTGGGGAACGCTCCCGTTCGAGCGGGGACCCCCATCCGACAACACGCACCCATAGCCCTCTCCGACCCCCCTATGGGTATGGGTGTGTGTTGTTGGTTCGTCACGGGCGCACTGCTCGCTGCGGTCCGCTGTATGGCCGCGGCGCGCACTCTCGGGCCGGAGGGGGGGGGGGAGCACGTTCGGGCCGAGGTATCATAAGGTCGAGGTCGGCGCTCGGGGAGGGTGCCCTCCTGCTTTTCGCGCTTGTTGGATGTGCGCGGTGTGGGGGAGGGCACCCTGGGCTGTTCTTCGGTGTGGGCCGGCGGAGGGTCTCGTGCTCTTGACTTCTGTCCTAGGTCCGACTGTAGGGAGGGGGGGGTGTCCGAAATCTGCTGCGTGCAGCTGGTTTCGGCCCCGCCGCCAGGCCCTTTCCTCGATACATGGGCGCCTCCGGCGCCTGGAGGCGCCGGGGAAATCAGCTACGGGAGCTGATTCGAAGACCCCTCCTCTGCTATCCCCCCCTTTCGTGCGACCTGACACTCGCAGGTGCAATCGATCGGAAGGGGGTCGTGCCGCGGGCCCGCGTGAAGGCCGCGGCGCGCTCCGTTCCTCCCTCCCGCCCGCCCGGTGGCTGCGCCCAGGGCGTCGCGCGGCGGCGGTGGCCACGGTTCCCAGAGCCGGACACCTGTGCACCGTACCGCGCTGGAGCGGGACATGCAGCGAATCCAAGTGTGGTGAGGTGCATGAGCGCCGTTCTCGTAGCAGATGCTCCAGGCATGCCACGTGCCTTGCGACCTGGGCGTCGCATGTGTTTCACACCAGGCGTTGCCATCCGGTTTCCAGGGGCCATCCGTTGCCGTCCGGTTTCCGTTTTTGTATTGTCTCGCTGTCCATGTGCATGATCGCGTGTGGTCCATACGTACAGGTTTGAAGAGGCTACGGCCTCCTCCACCAGGTCTCGAGCAGGCCTGGACAGCTGTCCGCAGTGGTGGTTCGTTCGTTCGTTCGTTCCAGGGGCCCTCCCTGATCGATCCGGCTCGGCGGGTTCCGCCGGCGGACGGCGCCCAGGGCTTTCGGCAGGGGGCCGGAGCTGGGGAGGAGGAGGAGGACCCAGCCGTCCAGCGTGCCTAGAGAGCCGCCCTGCTCATCGCATGGTCGCGACCGACGGGATCGGTCGCTTCCGATGTTGCTTCAAATCCCGGCATCGGTCGCAATCGGTCGCGACCGATTCGGAGTGGCGATGGATCACCGCCGATCGTGACCAGATAGATTCTATGTCCAGTGACCTTGACGGGCGTTGCATTATTTTCATACCAGGCGCTTTCCGTCTGGTCTGGGCCCCAGGACCATCACAGATCGATTTGGCTCGAATCATGCCGCATGAAGATGGGGTCTAGGGCCCCAGAGAAGGAAGAATCCAGATCGTCGACGGAGTTCCTTCCATTCCTTTGACATGTGTTCTTTATTTCCTGGCGTTTTTCTTTGATTTCGGGCTGTTCAGGACCATCCAAACGGATCCAGGGCGAAGTGCTGGCCCCAGATAAGGGGTCCGATTCAGAGCTCCAGGGACGCGGAAACAGACCCAGACATCTAACGCATTGAGAACATGAAGGCGGCGCTTTCTTGCCGGTTCCCCCGTCCGTCTCGAAAACGACCCACGATGAACCCTGGGGAGAGGGGCAGGCTTTCCAGGGACCCCCCCCCGTATTGACCACCTTGAGGCGAGCGCTTTTTTTCGTTCCCTGGCGATAGCGGACGTTACCTGGGGGGGGGAGGGGGGCGGGGGGCAGGTAACGTCACGTTTCGCGCCAGCGCCCTTGTGGGAGTGTCCAGGAATGGCCACCGACACGTCGGAGGTCAGCACGCATCGTGACGTTACCTGGGTGGGGGGAGGGGGCGGCTAAAACGACGCGAAGATCGGGACAAAATCGGATCGGGATAACTCGAAATCTCTGAGAATCTGCGGGCTTGGAGGAAGAATTGGGCGCCGCGGCCGCTCCAGAGCGTTCCGGAACGCTCTGAGAGCGCTCCGGAACGCTCTGGAGCGATTTATCCCGATCCTAGCCCTGTCTTAGCGGCTGGGGTCGGAAACGACGGCTATCGCGAGAACTAAAGACACGCTCTCCAGACATCATATCTCTGGGAGCATGCCTCCGCCGCCGCATTTTGTCTCGCCGCCACGGCCGAGTTCGCCCAGAGGCCCTGGCCAGTTGGCGCCTTCCCAGCAGAGGTTGACCGTCATCGGCAGAGAGGTTGATCGCAAGCCCAGACACGAGATCATTTTTCAGGGTCCGCCGATACAGCAGGTTATCGCGCCCTCCCCCCCCTCCCCCATAGATAATCTGACCTTGTCGGTTTCGCAGGTCCCAAGGGGGTACGCAGTGTTTGTGCGCGCGGGCATGCGTGGGGTCGCTCAAAGCGAATCTGTTGGGTTATCGGCCAGCACCTCTCCCCCCTCCCGCGCCACCCTACCAGATAACTTGGGTTACCGCTGACAGACCACAAACGATCTCCATGCGATGTCTTCCTCTTCGTCAACAGGGGATCCCTGAAGTCCCGCCCCTTCCTTCCCCCGGGGCTGTTTTTTCCATTCCGAGCCGTTCTGTGGCGCTCCCGCGGCCCGGCGAGGGCCCACGGAGGTCGAACACTGCCAAACAGCTCCTTCATGCTTTTTTCACACGGCGCGAGCAGCTTGGGAAGACCACTGGAAGCCGGCACATGCGCGATCAGGTCCGTTCGGGAGCCTTGAAACGGGGGTCGATGCAAACGGGGGTCAGCCAGGGCGCCAGATCTTGCAGGATCCTGCAGGGACAGGGTCGCATTGACCCGGGTTTGGGTGCAGGATCCTGCAGGATCTTGCAGGATCATTCGCATTGACCCAGGTTTGGGTGCAGGATCTTGCAGGATTCTGCAAGGCCTGGCTGACCCAGGTCTGGATCGACCCGGGTCAGAAGATCCCCGATCCGTGGGGTCGCGGCATCGGCAGGTTTTCGTCGTTCCCCCCCAGGAGCCACCTGGCGCCCTCGCCGGGGGCGTGGGGGGGCCCGCACAGAGAGATGCTGTGAGCCGGCCCCGCTGGGTGCCTGTCGCGCCGCCGCGCCCCCGCCGCCGCCGCGGCCTGGGAAAAGGAGGGGGAGGAGGGCGAGGAGGGCGGGGGCGGGTGGCGAGCAAGAGCTCGACGGCCGGTTTTTGGGTTTCCTCGGCCTCGGGGGGTCCTCGCGGGGCCCCAGGACCGCAACAGGAGCGGCTCGAGACGGAAGTCCGGCCCCAGGGAGGGGGTTCAGACCCTTGTGGGTCTACGCTGCGCGGGGGGGAGGAGGGGGGGGGGGGACAGAAACGGAGGAGGCGGGAGGAGGTGGGAGACGGAGAAGGGGTGGGGGTGAGGCGGGATGTGCTTGGTCGCTACCCTCTCCATCCTCTCCGCCTCCCAGCGTCCCCGCCATCCTCGGCCTCCATTTCCTCCGTGCGCCCCCTTCCTTGCCCCGGTTCCGGCCCTGGGCTCCTCCATTCCTCACGCCGGCACTAAGTTCGCCGTGCCATCGGACGGCTTGCACGGTTCCGCCCTCCGCGTCCCATCCGGACCCTGGGCCACGCCTGAGAGGTCCTCTTGAATCAATGCGACGGGTCGATTCTTTCGTCTCCGCAGGCTGGTGTAGCTCCTGGGTCGCATCTTCGCCCTTTTTTTCCGCGACCTCTGCCACGTCTTCTGGTAGTGGTGCTCGCTCTGCCTACCGAGTGCCCCCCGCGAGAGCACGTGCTCTAGGCACGCCCTCCCTCACCCCCCTCTGCAATACTTCAACATGAGTTCTACTCTCCTCTCTTCCCTTATACTGTCCGGTGCTGTCGCCGCGTCTCGCGTTCCAGCTGCAGCGTTTGCCACACTGCAGTATCGGTGTTTTGTTCCCGTGGCTCAGGGGGGCCCCTTACCCCAGGGCGGACCACATGTCTGGGTCCGATTCCCTCGTCGTTGCCTTCCCTCCCCTCTCTCCTCCTCCGCCTTTCCCCTGGTCCCACTGCTCCTCCTGCTCTTCCTACTCCTGCTCCTCCTCCACCTCTACCCCCAACCACGAGAAGGATTCAACGCAATGGGACGGGCTGGGTGGGAGGGGTGGGGTGTCAGACGGGGTGCGAGGGCACCCAGCTTTCCCTCCTCCCTTCTCCCCTCCTCCTTCCCCCCTTCCTCCTGTCCCTCCATGCTTTCCCTCCTCCCCCCTCACCCTCCCAATCACAGCCTATACATACACACATCTAGATACGGCAGAGCGCGCCCGATCCATGCTCGAGATATGCAGCAGTTGGCTGTGTGTCGGAAGCTCGCCGAGCGGTGGGATCGGAAAGTGCCCACAGACGCAGCAGGATGAAGGCCGACCGCCGCGCCACCAATTCGTAATTTGGGCGAGGGCGTAGATGTGGCTGCACCGGGATCAGTTCGGGGGGGGGGGGGGCGGGGGGCATTCTGCTTTAGTTTTGTTTACTTGCTCAGCTGTACCTCGAGTGGGACAGTAATACTGATACCTGCTTGTGTACACTCAGCCTGGTCCACTGTGTCATCATTCAGGTGGCTTGGCAGGCCCCTTCAAAAGGATGTCGGCATTCGATCGCCGTGCAAGCAGCTGGTCGAGGCAGCAGCGGGGGTGGATCCCAGGAGACCGACAGCCACTTGCACGGGGTGCGTGCTTGGCAGGGCAGCGGCGGCGCCGGGACTGCCCCAGGACTCTTGCGGGCCCTGCGACCCATACTCCCATCAGCATTTTGTAGGTTGGCCCCGCCCCCTCCCCCTCGCTCTCCCCCTTTCCACAGCTGCTCAGCATGAGTACTGCTCTCCTCTCTCCCCCGACTCTGTACTGGAAGTGTCCTGTCCTCTCCGCGCGTTGTTCTTCGCACGCAGCATTTCAGCATGTGTGAATTCCCGACCCTCCTGTGGAGCTGGGTCCTCGTTTTGAAGAGACAGTCCCCGCGTCTCCCTCCCTCCTTCCTTCCTCCTCCCCGTCCTCCCTCCTTCCATCCCTGCCGCCGCCTCTGCCATTCGCATGTCAAGCTGTTCGGCACACTCCTCACACGTTTCGTGGCCCTATAGGGAGCCCCCCCGAAGGCCGCAGAGTAGCAAATTCCACGTGCGATTCCCTGCTCATTTCGGCACATCCCTCACACGCGGCAAAGTCCACATGCGGTTCCCCGCCCTGTTCGGCATCCCCCTCACGCGTTTCGTGGTCCCACGGGAGCTCCACCGAAGGTCACAGTGGCAAAGTTCGCATGCGGTTTCCATGCCCAGTTCGGCATGCCCCTCACACGTTTCGTGGCCCCATATTCAGCGGAGGGCCCAGTGGCAATGTTCGCACGCGTCCACCCCCCGCAAGTACAGCGTTTCGCGGCCCATAGGGATCTCCACCGAAGGCCCCAGTGGCAAATTTCGCATCCGTGCCCCCCGCTCAGCACAGCGTTTCGTGGCCCATATCTGAAGGCCCCATTGGCAAAGGTTCGCATGCGTCCCTCCCTCCAGGTACAGTGTTTCGTAGTTGATAGTGAGCTTCACCGGAGGCCCCAGTGACAACGTTTGCATGCACCTCCCCCACCCAGTACAGCGTTTCGTGGCCCATAGGGAGGTCCACCGAAGGCCCCAGTGGCAAAGTTCGCATGCGCCTCCCCCACCTAGTACAGCGTTTCGTGGCCCATAGGGAGCCTCCACCGAAGGCCCCAGTGACAAAGTTCGCATGCAACTCCCCACCCAGTACAGCGTTTCGTGGCCCGTAGGGAGCTCCACCGACGTCCCCAGTGCAAAGGTCGCATGTGTATCCTCCACCCAGTACAGCGTTTCGTGGCCCATAGCGAGCTCCACCGACGGCCCTAGCGACAAAGTTCGCATGCGCATCCCCCGCACAGTGCAGCGTTTCGTGGCCCATTGGGAGCTCCACCCAAGGCCCCAGTGGCAAGTTCGCATGCGCCTCCCCCGCCCAGTACAGCGTTTCGTGGCCCATAGGGAGGGAGTTTCACCGAAGGCCCGTGGCAAAATTCGCATGCGTCTCCCCCACCCAGTACAGCGTTTCGTGGCCTGGAAGGGGCTCCACCGAAGGTCCCAGTGGCAGAGTTCGCATACGTCTCTCCCACTCAGTACAGCATTTCATGGCGCATAGTGAGCTCCACCGAAGGCCCCAGTGGCAAAATGCGCATGCGTATCCCCCACCAACTACAGCGTTTCGTTGCCCATATAGAGCTTCACCGAAGGCCCCAGTGGTAAAGTTCGCCCTCGCCCAGTACTGCGCTTCCTGGCCCATAGGGAGACGATACACACAACTGCGGTATTCACGACTGCATCTGGTAGGGTCCTTCGCCAGGCCATTTTTCTTTGTTTTTGGATTCGGAGCAATTTTCGGTGTGTCCAAAATGGTGCTCCTGCTGCGGCGTGTAGCTCATTGCAGGATCGGCGCTTTGCACCTGTCGTTCAGATTGGCGCTCTCGCCCAAGCACGGTCCACTTTTCTGGATCCGAGTCCCTCTTCACCGTTGGTTCCCGACTCGTTTCCCCTCCTCACCCTTCATGGTCCTCTTGGCTCCTCCGGTTCCTCCTGCTCCTGCTCCTGCTTATCCTTCTCTTGCTCCTGGTCATCCTCTTTCCCCTGCTCATCCTCCAGCTCAACTGCCGCCACCGCATCCTCCTCGTCCATTGTGCACAGCTCCCCTGTTCTAGTTGTGCCTAACACCAGGGTGTCCTCTTTGCGGTTCTAGGTCTGCTCTGCTACCCGTCGGCGGATAGAGAAAACATCAGTGCATTGGGAAGGGATGGGTGGGAGGTGTGGACTGTCAGATACGGCGCGAGCGCACCTAGCTTGTCTCCTCTCCTCTCCCTCTTCCCTCCTCCCCCGTCCCTCCTGCCTCCTTGCTTCTCCCTCCTCCGCTTTCCTTCCTTCCCTCCCTCGCCCCCTCCCCTCTCCCCTCCCAGACCTCCGACGTTGTGACCTTGCCACTCCGCGGCCCCAGCGCGCCCGACCTCTCCCCCGGGGCCAGTTGATCGTCCCAGATCCGTGCCCGTTCTCGACGGCCCCTGGGCCCGGTCACGGCCCCCCGAGGGCCAGGCCGAGGTCGAGGAACAGTGCCCAGCTCAAAAAGGGAGCACGTGTCGCGCGAGAGTTGGGCTCCCCTCCTTCCCCCCCCCCCTCTTCTTCCAAGCACTGGTTGGACGGTGCTCGCGATGGGATGCCATGGGACAGTTGGGAGCACGCTCTCCTGGACCACATGCAGCAGCCCGCCCGCGCTGGTCCAAAGGGGGCCCGCTGGTCGGCCAGCCGGCGGACTCGGCGCGCTCTTCTCCGCTCCGCCCCAGAGTCGTTCGGTAGCAGATCACGGGAGCCTCGTGCGTCTTCGGAGCTCCGCCCTTTGCGTGCACCAGCGTGCGCTGGCGTCTGGCAATCGACGAAAAAGCGGCGACGTAGCGCCGATTAGCGTCGGCTAGTGTCGGTCAGCGTCGATTCGCCAGAGCCTGCGAGATGGCATTCAGGAGCGAAAGAAGGACGTACGCGTACACGAGTCCACGTTGGCCTCGCACGTACGCATTGTGCCAACGTTCCCATCACGAGGCTGGTATCGCGGACTGGGGGGCCGTCTTCATGTGCGTGGCTGGGCGCGTACGTCGTTCCCTGAGATCCGACGTTGCAACAAAAACGCAACGCCAGGATCTCAGGGTTCGTGGATTCATACGAAAACCGTACGATTACCATGCGGAAGCCATACGATTACCATACGAAAACCACGCGTTTCCCATGCGAAAGCCATACGATTACCATACGAGCACCGTGCGAAAACCATGCGAAAGCCACACCATTACCAGGATCTCAGGGTTTGTGGGCTCCCTGGGCATGAGAGGCTCCCGTGAGCTGCCGCCGCAGCGTCGGCGGGGCCATGCGGCGGCTGCCGCCGGCGGCCCGCGCGCTGCGCTGCCGCCGCTGGCCCCCGGCGGCCGCCGGCGGCGGGCGGCCCCGGCAGGCATGCGCGGCGGCGGCCGCCGGCGCGGCCGCGGCCGCGGCCGCGGCGGCCGGCGGGCTCGGCCTGCGCTGCGAGCCCCGCGCCACTGGGGGTCAGGATCGTCGAAGCGACCCCCATCCCCATCCCCATCCAGACCCCCAGCCAGATCAGCATCCCAGTTGGGTGTATATATATATATATATATACTAGAACCACGCGCGCGCTTCGCGCGCGCTTAGGTTCTGTCGAGTTACAGACCCAGGGGCTCTCTTGGGCCGCCTTTGGAGCCTCTTGGGGCGTCCTGGGTCTCTCGTGGGGGCTTCTTGGAGCTCTCTTGGCGCCTCCTGGAGCCTCTTGGGGCCGCAAGCTCGGAATTCTACAGTGGCTTTCTCCCTCTGGGACCCCTCTCGGGCACGCCTTGGGGCTCTCTTAGGCCATTTTGGAGTCCAATTTTGCCGTCCTGGGCGCCTCGTGAACCGTCTTGGAACTCTCTTGGGGGCCACCTAGGCCGTCTTGGGAGCCTCTTCGGACGTGTTGGACGCGGTGAAAACCCAACAGGCGACCATGCGACCATGCGAAAAGTATACGTTTTCCCATAGGAATGGGACCATTTTTGCTTCTTGGACCTCTCTTGGGGTGCCTCTCGGAACGTCTTGGGGTGCTTTTGGGAGCCTTTTGGCGCCTCTTGGCGGCATTTTGGCGCCTCCTGGAGCCTCTTGGGCCGGAAGCTCGGAATTCGAGGTTGGCTTTCTCCGTCTGGGACCCCTCTCGAACTCGTCTTGGGGCTCTCTTGGGCCGTCTTGGGGCCGTCCTGGGCCACTCGTGCGCAGCCTTGGAGCGCTCCCGGAGGCCTCGTAGACCGTCTTGGGCGCCTCTTGGGCCGTCTTGGACGCGGTGAAAGCCCAAGAGGCGAACATGCGAAAAATATACGTTTTCCCATAGGAATGGCACGATTTTTGCTTCTTGGGCCTCTCTTGGGCTGCCTCTCGGAGCGTCTTGGAGGCTTCTGGGACCTTCTTGGTGTCATGACAGGCGTCTTGGAAGGCATCTGGAGCCATCGGAGCGCGTTCCGAAGCCGCCTGCGAACGATCTTGGACGGCGTCCGGCGGTCCGACGAGCCTCCGGGCCCCCCGGGGCCCACATTTGTGGTCGAGGTCCCGGCCCCGGGCCCCCGGACCCGGTGCGCCGTTATATGTGTGTGTATATATATATATAAATATATCTACGTATACACGCCCCTCGATAAGAGGACGAACAAAACTGCGCGAGCATACTCTGTCGAAGCTCTGCGCGGATTTCTTGTATCTGCGCTGCGGCCCCCCTAGCGGCGCCTCTGGCGCCGCCCCTGGCGCGCTCCACGCGCCAAGGAGGGGGTACAGCGCAAATCCAAGAAGTCCTCGCGGACTATCGGATGTTCATGCTTGTGCTCTTTTCTCTTTCTCTGGGTATACCCCTCGATATCCGAAGGAGACGGCCTGTATTCTCATCTAGGGGGGTAAATCGGCCAGTGTAGAGGGCCACATGCGAACCCTACCCCTGCCCCCTACGATTTCTGAGGGGGAGGGTGGGGTTCACTTCGCTCGGGAGCTCCCGAACGAGGTGAACCCCCCCCTCCCCCTCAGAAATCGTGGGGGGCAGGGGTAGGGTTCGCATGTGGCCCCCTACAGTGGGGCCCAGGCCACGCCCATGGGGATAGTGGTCGGTTAGACGATGCTCAGGGGGGGCGCCAGCGGCGGCGGTACGCGTGCCCGTCGAGGACACCTATCTAGTTGCCCTCGGCCAATCCCCGGGGGGGAGGCCAATGTCAGGAGGAGAAAAAGCACACATACACAATGAATCGTCGATTCCCAGAAAACGTGAGAAAATATGGGAAGTGGGGGGGAAGACAAAAACCCAGATAGTATAGGAAAATATGGGGAACCCTTTTATTTGTGTGCATTTATTTGTGTGTCCCAGGGCCCCTTCACAATGGAGGGGAAAGGCTCTGCTCGGAGCTGGCTGGGGGTCCGAGGTGGCCCAGCATTGGTTTTGGCGTGCAGGAGTGGGGCGTGGGTTCGAGGTGCTGGGTTGGAGGCGTTTTTTTCTTTGTTGCCTTTTTCTGGGGCCGTTGTCGCTCCCCAGGACCGTCAGAAATGGATCCGAGGCGTCAAGACAAACACCAGATGGACCCAGGGCAGGGAGGGATCTGGGGACCGGCTTTGAGGGGATTTGGCCTCAGCCTCCCCTGCCTGATACTTTTACATATTACTTTTCAATGAACGGCCAGCGCGGACCACAGTAACTCCTATCCGGCCGCGCGACGGGCCACACGAACACCCAACGGGCCACACTAACACCCAACGGGCCACAATAACAACCAGTCGCCCCTCTTGGGCCGTCTTGGGCGATCTGGAGGCCATATTGGGCCATGTTCGGGGCATGTCGGCCCGTCATGGAGACATTTGGGGCCATCTTGGGGGGATCTCTTGGGGAGCCTCGGGGAAGCCTCGTGGCAACGTCTTCGGCGTGTCTTGGGGGCCCGAACTCGGAGGGCTCGAAGGGCTCGAGGACACTCCAGCTCGTGCCTCGGGGCACGGGGGCGGACCAGCTGCCCGAGCCGTGGGTGGTCTCCAGCGCGCCCGCCGAGGAGCTGTGGCGGCAGTACGGCGTGAACGTGCTGCCCGCCCGCGGGCGCAGCATGGCCCCCCAGATCTCCAACGATGTGTCTTCTCCAGTCCTGGCGCGTCTCCTCGATTTTGGCCTCTGGGGGCCGCTGTCCGCAGATGCCAGCCTCTGGGGGCGGTTTTCGGGCCCCAGGGCCATCGGAAACGGATCCGGGGCGTGAAACTAGCCCCGAGGAAGGGGTCGGCCCCTCCTGCCCTGACTCTTCACACTCCGCACCTGCCAGTGAGCAGGCGGCTGATTTAGTGGTGCTCGAGAGGGGTACCAAGTGGCGTAGGCGTGAATTTTCGGAGCTCCAAGCGGATTTCTTGGATCTGTGCTGGACCCCCCTCGCTGGCGCGCGGAGCCCGCGAGGGGCGGCGCCAGAGGCGCCAGCCGGGGGTCCCAGCGCAGATCCAAGAAATCCGATCAGCGCCGATCCGAAAAGTCCGCGCGGAGCTCCGAACGTTCATGTTGATGCAGTCTTTCGCCCTTCGAGAAAATCCCTCAGTCGGCCACCTGGTGGTCAGAAGGTACGGAAGGTGGAGAGTCAGTGAAGTGAGAATTCACATCGGCGGACGTCCAGGTCCGGGAGGTCGCGCCCCAGCCGGCCACGGCCTTTCGACCCTTCGGCCCGGAGGACGAGCAGAGGCTGCTGGACATGAGGGGCCAGAGCGTCCCCGCCGAGCGGAACCCGGGAGTCCGCTTCGTGCCCAATTTCCTAGACCCGGGGGAGGGCCAGTCTGAGACATCCCTTGTAATTTCGGGGCTTAAGGGACGGGGTCAATGCAAACGAGGGTCAGCCAGAGCACCGGATCTTGCAGGATCCTGCAGACGAGAGGGCGCATTGATCTTGTAGGATCCTGCAGGATCTTGCAAAGCCCGACTGAACTGGAATTGGATTGACCTGGTTCAGTGCGTCCCCGATCTTGGGCGCTGCGATTTTTCTCTCCAGCGGGCGTTTTCGCCGAGCTTCGGGCCCTGGGACCATCACAGTTCGCTCTGGCCCGCAAGCTGCCGCGGCAAGATGGGGCCCCCATGCCTCTGGCCACGCTCTTTCGCGACGTTGCCTCTGTCTTTGCGACGCCGGATCTCTCAGGGCATGCCACCTGGGCTCCTCCTCCTCCTCCTCCTCCTCCTCCTCCTCCTCCTCCTCCTGGTGGCAGCTGGTGGCCTGGCAGCTGATGGCAACTTCGTCGCCACGCCGGACCGCAGGGTCGGCGGCCCTCCCCCGCCCGGCCCTCGGGGGCCACCCCGGCCCGCTTCTTGCCGACGCGAATGTGGCCGTGGCGACGAGGGGCCCCCGGGAGGCCCAGAGAGGACGGAACCCGGAGGTCCGATGTGTAGATTTAAGTCGGGCCTGTCCCCCTACAGGGGGATTTTCGGCGAAAAAAAAAAATACCCCAAAAATTGTTAAAAAACAAAGAAGTCAACACATAGTCTGGAGACTCTTTTTGAAGACATGTTTTTTACCTTTTATTTTCCGTCGAAAATCCCCCTGTAGGGGGGCACGCCCGACATAAATGTAGATTTTTCAATTCGGGTTTCCCGGAAGTCCCCCACCAGGGCCTGTGTTCCATCGTGAGTCGTTTCTTGAAGGTCCTGGGGCCCGGCGAGAGCCTCCGGCGACAGAAAACGGTGAAGCGCTTCCGTTTGCCAGCCTGAAACACATCCCTGTCCCTATGATGGGCATCACCTTATCTCGATGCAACTCTTAAGGATTGCCTCGATCTCGGAGGACGCATCCCTGAGAACATCGCCGCCTTGCGGCTTGTCAGTCTTGGGAGCAAGTTACAGATTCGCGAATTGGTCGTCTCGATTTGCTTGTCAGTACTCTGGAGCGTCTGGGCAGGAGGCCCAGAGAGGGCGGGCAGGAGGCCCAGAGGTGAGGCCTTCCGATCGAGTCAGTGCTCGGTCCAGGATCGGCTGCAATAGTGTCAAACCTCGAGCATCGTGGAGCCCGAGCGAAACATGTACTCCAGATTTCGTAATAAAGGGAGGGGGGTCTCATTTCGGGGGGGTCTCTTCCAGGCTATCTTGGAGGGCCTGGGGGGGTCTGGGGACGGTGTTTTGGAGGGTTCTCCCACGGGGGGGGTCTAAAACTTCTCGTCTGGGAGGGTTGAGATCCCTCCCTTTTATTACGAAATCTGGAGTACGAAGTTCGCCTCGTGCTCGGGAAAATGATTGGTCATACTCGCTTGACACCGGTGTTCGGTTGCAAGCCATGGGAGCCTTGTGTACCCTCGTTCATAGAGTGAATACACTCGCGTGGACTCGCGTCTGGTAATCGACTTGTAGAGTCCCAAACCCGGGTAGCGGAGCGCCAGAAAGGCCTTCAAACGCCTCTGGACGGAGCTCCGAAGCTCTTGGGTGGAATTTCCGAAGAAGCTGCTGGAAACTTCAACGGCACACGTATTTTACCAGCCTCGAACATATCCCTATCCCTAAGATTGACATGCCAAAAAAGTGATGACAATCTTAGTTAGGGATGCGCCCTCAAAAAATAAGGGAATCCCTAAGATTGGCATCGTGAAGAGGAGATGCCCAGCATAGGGATAGGGATATGTTCCAGGCTGGTAAGTATTGGCAAGCAGTTCGAGAAGGCTTGTCGGGGCAAATTGCGAGTTCAGATGAGCACCGCCGGGGGTTCTGGAGTAGCGAAGCCAGCATGAGCTCTGGGGCCGTCCTGCGGTGCCAGCTTCTCATTCGAAGCCCTCTCAGCTCTCAGAGAGCTGTCTGGGAAGGAGGTAGCGCCGTTCTTTGGCGTCGACGTGGCGCTGAGCAGCGTCGACTTGCCGCCGACCTGGTGTCGACCTGGCGCCGACTCGCAGGGGCCAGCAGGCAGGATGGCATGGAAGGCCCCCGGTGGGTTGCCACCGACCCCGTGGAGGGCCCAGGACATCCGAGGGGCCCGGAGGAACATCCAAGAGGACATCCAAGAGGCCCGACGTGGCAAAAGCGCGCCGCGGAGGGACCTTTGGTGCCTCTCGGCGGGCCCTCCCCCGGCCGGACGAGGGCGAGGAGGCCGCGCTCGCCGCGGAGGTGCGGGGCCTGATCTCCAGGCGCGGCGCCGCAGAACGGGCTCCACTGCTTACCAGCCTCGAACTTATCCCTATCCCTAAGATTGACACGCCAAAAGGCGATGACAATCTTAGGGATGCGCCCTCAAAAAATAAGGGAATCCCTAAGATTGGCATCGTGATGAGGAGATGCCCAGCATAGGGATAGGGATATGTTCCAGGCTGGTCAACTGCGCCGACGTTCGCGCGTGAGCTGTCCGCGTAAGGCGGCGCGTGCCCAGGCCCCCGCGAGTCATGATCTGATCGCGGCGGAGATTTTTGTTTTGTTTTGCTTTTCGATGCTTTTGGCCTCTTGGGTCCCTTGCCAGGCCTCGGGGCCGTCAAACAACTGCTCAGGATGAGAAGCCGGTCCCGGGGAAGGGATGGGTCGAGACCTCTGGGGTGGACGTCACGAACAAGTCATGGCTTCGGGGGTCTGTGTAGGCGCCCTCGTTTCCAGTGCAGCGTGCCGCGCTGGCGGCCCGCGTAAGCTGCCGCGTAAGTTCGCTGTGTCATCGTGCGTAGAGTCAACCCGCGTAGTAAGGATCAGCAACTTTCCAAGGCTACCCTTGCATCCTTCCCCCTCGGCCCATCCTTGGCCAGTTTCGCTGTCCGTGCCCCGCTCGCAAAGTGTCGACATGGCGTTCCAAGGCCCTTGCATCCTTATTGTGTGACCTTGTTCTACGGATTGACTGTAGTATGGACACCTATTCTTAGGCATCTATTGCGTAGGCCTTACGGCCGGTGCCGCCGACCCTGAGGTTGGGGAGGAGGGCGCGTAGTATGGGGAGGAAGATGAGGAAGGAGCAGGAGATAAGGGCCAGAGCCCAGCCAGGGCCAGGGCCAGGGCTGGGGCCAGGGCCGAACCGCCCGGGGGGGAAGCGTATCTGACCCAGGACTTCGCCGGGACCCCCCTTCCTCCCCGGCGGGAAGGGATGAAAGGGAAGGGCTTTCCCTCGACGTCTTTGTGGAATTGGGTGGAACCGCGGGATTCGCGGGCTTACTGGCAGAGGCGTCGTTTCTGACCTATCAGTCAGGACAGCCTCACAGGGAACAGAGAAGAACCGAACAGCCTCTTCCACACGCCGACGCAGGGTCGGTGGATTTCTCTTACATGATATTCGGCTCGCAGGGCCCGAATGCAGCCACGTCCACCGTCCACTGCTGCAGAGTTTCCCGAATATCGATCCCTGGACATCCGATGCCTTGGCCTTTTTTGAATGCGGGGCCTCGGGAAGTCCCGAGCCTTCCCCTCTCTTGCCGTCCTGGGGCCTGGCACGGGCCTCCGAAGGCCGAGAACGGCCACAGACTGCTCTCCTCGCCGCTCAGGTACGGCTCGGTCATGGCGGGCTCCACGAGCTACGCGCCGGCGGAGCCGGCTGGCCCGGGGAGCGCCGGGGGGGCGCCGGCGCAGCTGGTGATGACGCCAGACGGGCGCAGGTCGGAGGGGGGCCCGCCGCGAGACACTGGCCGGGGGCCGCCAAAGGTGCCCCTGGCCCAAGGTGCCCCCAGCTCTGCGCCCCAGTTTGGAGCCCCCGGGGGCCCTCCGGGCCTCGTGGGGGATGCGCTCGAGGTCGGTCGGGGCCACCTCGGAGACCCTGGGGGCACCTTCGCCAGGGGCATTTCTGGCAACACCCAGAACGGTGACCCTCCCCGATCTCCGCCGATGTGTTTTGTTCTCTTGCGCAGCTGTGTTCTGGAGCTCGGAGCCTTTCTGTTTTCGTCGTCGTGCGTTCGTTCGCTCGTTGCCCTTCCCCCGGGCCCACCTGCCCCTGTCTCCCCATGACAGTCATGATGGCCCCAGGCGAACACCAGGATGGCCCCAAGAACCCTTGCCCTCCTCACACCGCCTCTCCTGGCCCTCGCCCGCCCTCGTGCAAGGGCCAGGCGTGCGTGCCACTTGCTCTTCCAGGGGCGGGCTGTTCGGGATTTCCGGCCTCGGGGGCCGTTTTGTCGGGCCCCAGGGTCATCAAGCATGGATCCTGGTCGAGGAGCCACCCCTAGGGAAGCGGTCGGGAGCCCTGGGGCCGCGGATTGGCCCATCTCAGGTCGGCGGATGTCGGGGCTCCCCGCTGCTTTCCGTCCTTCCTGGGCCTACTGGCTAGTCGTCGCTGCGGCTGGAGCCGCCTCGATCGCTGAGCCGGGGTGGCCCCCGGGAGGGGCCCGGCGCCCGACTCTGCGTGGATCTCAGCCGGGCGGGGCGGCCCCCGTTGTCTCCGCTGGCCCTCCTCCGAGCATAGTGCCCGACCCGAAGGGCACACCGGGGCCGATGCGGCGGATTACCGGCCGCACGGAGGATGAGGCGCGCCAGCACCCGCCACCCTGGGGCTACGGGGCAGAGTTCCGCCCGGAGGCGCTGCCCCTCCACCTCTCCTCCGTCGTGGAGCGCATACGGTCGCTGGAGGGCTTCCCGCTGGGGCCGCTGCGAGACGTGACCATCAACTCGCGCACGTCCTCGGTGTGCCGCCTCGACCCGCACATCGACCCTCTCAAGGACGGGGCGAACTGCTTCATCCTGACGCTCCTGAGCGGGGCCGTGCTCACGTTCTCGCCCGTGGCCGCGCTGCGGAGCGAGGCGGACCGCGCCACGAACCCGGCAGCCTTCGGCATGCGCTCCTTCACGGATCTCAGAAAGAAGCATTGGCATACACACAAAAGTTCGGAGGTTCGAAAGTTTCTGTTTCTGCAGTTTTTTCATGAGCTGGCAACTGGCGCCCACATCTATGCGACTCTCAGATTTCTCGGGGTGGAGTTCCGGGGGGGGAGGAGGAGGAGGAGGAGGAGGAGGAGGAGGAGGAGGAGGAGGAGGAGGAGGAGGAATTCCACGGGGGGCTATGGGTGTGTGCTGTCGGATTGGGGCCCCCGCTCGAACGGGAGCCCCCCTCGGGGTCCGGCATATCGTGTCCGTGCTTATAGCGCCTTCCTCGCCCTGCCCTGTGCCCATCCCTTCCCCATTCTTCCTCCTCATAGGTTTGGGACTGTGTTGATCATGATTTCGGAGGCCTGGAGTCGAAGAAGACAAATCTGCATAAACAAACAATTTTTTTGGGAGCTCCGGGCGGATTTCTTGGATCTGCGCTAGGGCCCCCTGGCGGCGCCTCCGGCGCCGGGGGGCCCAGCGCAAAGCAAAGAAATCTGCGCGGACCGTCGAAAGTTTATGTTTACGTGATTTGTTCTTCCTCTAACCATCACTATCGGCGGTGTGCCTCCACCGAGGGACAATGATCCTGATCTCGGTGATGGGGTAACATTCGGGCTTCCTGTGCGGCCGAAGTGTGATCACCAACGCTGAAGTTTACGACCAACCTTCCCCGTTGGAGGCAACCCCCTGTGTCGCTGTCAGTGCCCCTGTGCGAGCTTCCTCCATTTCCTCCTCCGCCTGCACCTCCTCCTCCTCCTCCTCCTCCTCCTCCTCCTCCTCTTCCTCCTCCTCCTCCTCCTCCTCATTCGCCTCATCCGCTTCCTCCTCCTCCTCCTCCTCCTCCTCAGTACCCCCGAGGACCAGGACGTGGACGGCATCCTCCGCCGCCGGTCCCTCGTGCACTTCGCCGGCGACGCCCGGTACCGCTGGGCGCACGCGATCCGCCCGGGCGTCGCGGTGGAGCTGTCCGAGCAGGACGGCGCCGAGACCAGGAGACTTTTTCCCCACATCCTGAGTGGGGTTCTTGTTTTCCCAGAACATCTTCTCCTTCTCCCTCCCGCCTCCCGCCTCCCATGTCAATACCATGCCTACCATTTTAGCCTCCCATATCATACCATGCCTACCATTCCATTCCATTCCATTCCATTCCATTCCATTCCATTCCATTCCATTCCATTCCATTCCATTCCATTCCATTCCATTCCATTCCATTCCATTCCATTCCATTCCATTCCATTCCATTCCATTCCATTCCATTCCATTCCATTCCATTCCATTCCATCCCATTCCATTCCATTCCATTCCATTCCATTCCATACTATACCATACCATACCATACCATACCATACCATACCATACCATACCATACCATGCCATACCATGCCATACCATACCATACCATAGCAAGCAAATCGGGCTCGCCTGCCTTCCTTAGCATGCAAACCATGGGACGCCATGGTGTAAAAAGCTCGATTCTGGTTTTGTCCTGGTGCTGGCATTCGGACAGCGCTCCTGCGGCGTCCGCGCCCGGCGGATAGCGCCCCGGTGGCGTCCCGGTGGCGTCCCGTTAGCGTCGGATGGCGTCCGAGAGCGTCGGCGGACAGCGTCCCGCCCAGCGTCGGGCGCTGTCGGAAGCCATCCAGGAGCGCGCGCGTCACTGAGGCTTCCTACGCTTCGCATTTTGCCCCCCCCCCCCCCCCCCCCTCCCCAGATATCAGGAGGGAAAAAACACACAGACACAATTAATCATCACTTCCCGAGAAAATATGGGAAGATATGGGAAGTGGGGGGGAAGACAGAAACCCAGAACATATGGGAGAACATGGGGAATCTTTTGTATTTGTGTGCATTCATTTGTGTGCCCCTGTGAGCCCCTTCGAGAGAGCCTGACCTGGTCGCTTGCGCAGGCCCGAAGGGGGGTGCGCAGCACTGGTGCGCGCGGGCCTGCGTGGGGCTGCCCTCGGCGAAAAACGGGTGGGCTACCGGCGGGCAGCTCCCTCGCCCCGCCCCTTGCCGGACAGCCTTCACCACCCACCAAGCCACCCCAAGCCAACCCGAAGGCCTCCATTTGCCCTCCATTTCCAGTGGGGGGGGGTCGGGGAGTATCGAAAAAACCACGTATGCCCGTATGCCCGACAGCCTTCACCACCTACCAAACCACCCCAAGCCAACCCGAAGTCCCCGATTTGCCCTCCATCTCCAGTGGGGGGGGGTCGGGGAACATCGAGAAAACACGTGTGGAACCCATACCCCCCCACCCAACCCGAAATTCGGGTCTTCGGGTTGGGTGGGGGGGGTCTGGTAGGCAGTCAAGCTTGGGTTGTCTCCGACCTTTTGAGCGCTCTCCAGGACCAGGGCCTGCATCAGCGACTGGTGGGGCACTCACGCGAACATCCTGCCGCGCAAGGACCCGGACGCACCGGACGCACTGGGAAAAGCCAAGACGGAGGTGTTTCATCGTTTTGGGCCCCAGGGGGCTCTCGCTGGTCCCAGGGACGGTAAAAACGACTCACGATGAGAAACTGACCCTGGGAAAAGGTCGGGACACATACATTCTAGACGCTTCGCGTACCCCCTCCAGCCCGTCCAGAAGAGGGTGTCAGGCGAGTTGCCTGGATCATGGAAATGCAGAAGCATGTCGTGGAGCAGGCGCCATGGAAGTTCGTCGGGGTCGCAGGAACGGCGGGAACAGGTGTTGCAGGATTTAATAAGTTCCCATGCCACGGCGGCTTCATTAGGGTCGTCCTGGGGCCCTCTTGGAGTTATTTGGGGACCCTCTCGGGGCGGGGAGGTCGCTACCTCTGACAATCGGACGAGGGAGGCGGAACAGACGGGAGAAGGGAGAGGAGGATGAGGAGGAGGAGGGGGAGGAGGAGGAGGAGGAGGAGGAGGAGGAGGAGGAAGGAACACACATAATACGAACAACAATGCTTCTAGCAAGGAATGCAATACTCCTGGAAGCAATCATAATAACAAGACCACGAATCATACAACTCATATGAATACTATGCATACCACTGTTAACACTAATAAAATAGCAATCGTCGGAATACCAAATCATGTTCGAACTAATGGTATCAATGGTCGTACTCATACCCATAACATTGATACTCATGTTACGAATGGTCCTGCTATTCTTAATAACAAGAATAACCAGTATAAGGATGGGAGGGTAAGACATCTCTCTTGGGCATCGTGGGGCCATCTTGATGCCATCAAAAGCAATTCGGAAGCGACCCTACGAGAAACCAAGCATTGATTTTCCTGAGGTGTTTGAAGGGTTTGTGTCCCTCCGAGAGCACTGAGAGCCTTATTGTGCCCCTCTTGGGGCCTCTTGGGAAGCATGATGTGTGCCATCTTGAACCATGTGGAGCTATCTTGAGCCATCCTGGAGGCCATCTTGGAGCATTGGAGGCCCTCTTGTAATCATCTTTGGCGAAACTTGCCCCTCTGACACATCGGACCTCTCCGAACAAATATTCTGGTGAAGGACCCAACCATAGGAACTTGTAGTATCGCCGTTGTGGGTATCGCCTTCGGGGGATCTCCTTATGGGGCCAAGAAGCGTGTAAAGGCTGTGCCGAACTGGGGCGGGGCCATGCAGGCGCTGCTAGTGGGCCCCTGAGTATACCCCCTCTCCGCCCCTGTGGGGCCACGAAGCGTGCGAGGGGTTTGCCGAAACGGGGCTGGGTCGCCAAGCGAACGTCGCCTCTTGGTCCTTCGGTGGAGCTCCTTATGTGGCCACGAAACGTGTGAAGGGGTGTGCCAGAATTGGCGGGGGACGCATGCGAACGTCGTCACTGGGGCTTTCGGTGAAGCTCCGTGTGGGGCGCGGTGTGCCGAAATGAGCGGGGGAACGCATGCGGACGTCTCTTCTGGGGCCTTCGGTGGAGCTCCCGATGGGGCCACGAAACGTGTGAGGGTTGCGCCGAAATGGGCGGGGGGGACGCATGCGAACGTTGCCGCCATTGGGGCCTTTGGTGGGGCTCCCCACGGGGCCACGAGACGCTGTACTGGGTAGGGCGGGCGCACGCGAACGTTGCCACGGGGGCCTTCGGTGGAGCTCCCTATGAGGCCACGACGAGCTGTACTCTGTGGGGCGGGTGCATATGAACGTTGCCAGTGGGGCCATCGGTGGAGTCCTATGGGGCCACGCAACGTTGTACTGGGTGGGGCGGACGCATGCGAATGTCGCCACTGAGGTTTTCGGTGGAACTCCCTATGGGGCCACGAAGCGCTTTTTTTGCGCGGGGCGGACGCATGCGAATGTCGCCACTGAGGTTCTCGGTGGAGCTCCCTACGGGACCACGAAGCGCTGTACTGGGTGGGGCGGACGCATGCGAAGGTCGCCACGGGAGTCTTCGGTCGAGCTCCCTATTGGGCCGCGAAGCGCCGTTTTGCGTGTGTGGGGCGGACGCATGCGAATGTCGCCATTGAGGCCCGCGGTAGAGGTTCCCATGGGGACACGGAACGCTGTTCTGGATGTGGCGGACGCTTGCGAGCGTCGCCCCGGGGGCCTTGGTGGAACCCCCTTCTTGGGCGACGAAACGTTGTAGTGGCGGGGCGGACGCATGCGACCGTCGCCACTGGGGCCTGCGCTGTACTGGGTGGGGCGGACGCATGCGAACGTCGCCAGAGTTACCTTCGGTTGAGTTTCGTATGGGGCCACGAAACGCCGTACTGGGTGGGGCGGCGGACGCATGCGAAGGTCGCCACGGGAGCCTTCGGTGAAGCATTTGGCTACGAAGCGCTGTGCTGGGTGGGGCGGACGCATGCGAACGTCGCTACTGAGGCCTTCGGTGGAGCTCCCTACGGGGCCCTCCACCGTTGTACTGGGTGGGGAGGGCAAGGCGAACAACGCAAGGGGGGCTTCGGTGGAGTTCCCTATGGGGCCACGAAGCGCTGTACTGGACGCATGCGAACGTGGCCATGGGGCCTTCGGCGGCGCCCCATTACAGGGCCACGACAAGCTGTACTGGGGATGGCGGACGCATGCGAGCGTCGCCACTTTTGCCTACGGTGGAACTCCCTATGGGGTCGCGAAGCGCTGCGCTGGGTGAGACGGACCCATGCGGACGTCGCCACGGGGGCCTTCGGCGGAACCCCCTCGTGGGGCCACGACGAGCTGTACTGGGTGGGGCGGACGCATGTGATCGTCACAATTGTGCCCTTCGGTGGAGCTCCCTATGGGGCTACGAAGCGTGTGAGGGGTGTGCCGACCTTGTTGACACGCGGAGGGCAGAGGCACGCAGGGGCGGAGGGGGGGGGAGGAGGAGAAGGAGGAGGAGGAGGAGGAGGAGGAGGAGGAGGAGGAGGAGGAGGAGGAGGAGGAGGAGGATCAGGAGGAGGAGGAAGAGGATCAGGAGGACAAGGAGGAGGAGGAGGGGGGGCGGGGTGCTGTCTCCCCAAAACGAGGATCCAACACCACAGGACGGTTGTGAGAAACACCGCGGGGAGGCGGAGGTAGCCCTCCCCGAAGGCAAGAGGGCTTTGTAAGAAGGGAGAGGGAAACAAACTCGTTAGACCACATACACCCAGAGGGTTGGTGGGATTTTTGGAGCTCCACGCGGATTTCTTGCATCGGCTCTGGGCTCCCTCTGCTGGCGCCTCCAGCACCGCCCCTGGCGCGCTTCGCGCGCGCCTGGGGCGGGGTGCCCAGCGCCCGCTCGAGAGACCTTCGCGGAGCTCCGGAAGTTTCCGTTCGTGCCGTGCCGCGCGAGGACGAGCGCGTCTCAATAATTTTCGCCTTCGCGGACCCCTGGCGGCCTGCCGGCTGAGGCTGCCCTGCGCTCGCGGGCCTGGCCGGGGCGGCTTGGCGGCATCGGCGGCGCTGCGCTCCCGGTCCGCGCTGCGAGCAGGCAGATTCGCACGCGTTGGCGGCGAGCTGAAGATCAACTCATCGTTCGACCAGGAGTCGCAGTGGTGGCAAGCGTCGCGGTGCCTCTTCCGCAGCGCTGGTCTGTCGGTTCGCCGCCCAGGTGACCTAGTGGGATAGGGAAGAGACGGCGACCATGACCAAGACGTCGAAGGATCTTGTCGATGCCGATGTTGGACATGGTCCATGCCGGCCGTCGCCGATTCGCGAGGATGATCCACGAATGGACGGTGACCAATACGGACGGTTCCGCTCCAGTCTTGGTCATGGCTACCGTTTTCTCTCTCTCCATTTCTGTCCGACGCCTCCGGAGAGTGCGCACGTGCAAGGGTCCTGGGAAGTTGCGGCCCCGCTGACCGGCAGTGCCTTGCCCGGCAGGCCTGCACCGTCGGGCGCCGGCAGCGGCAGCGCTCAGCGAGGCAAAAGTGGCGTCCTGGCCTGCTCCGATTCTTCGCCCCTTGCAACGGGATGTTGTCAGGACGCTGTTAGGGGAACAAAAAGTGACATAGACATAAAAACTCGGAGGTCCGCGCGGATTTCTCGGATCCGCGCTGGACTCCCCTCCCTGGCGCGCGGAGCGCGCCAGGGACGGCGCCGGAGGCGCCGCCAGGGGGGGTCCAGCGCGGATCCGAGAAATCCGCGCGGACCTCCGAGTTTTTATGTTCATGCCACTTTTTGTTCCCCTGGCCGAAGCAGGGACCGGTCGGAGCTCAGCAGGGGCTCTGGCTCCTGGGCCGCTCCCCGGACCCTTGGGGCCGGGGAGCCCGTTCGTGGCCGAGCCTCGCCGTGGCCAGAGGAGCCCCTCGCGTTCCCTCCTTCGGCGTCCCGCCTGGCAGCGCGACCTGCTCCTCGCGCTGGGGGGAGAGGGGGGGCGAGAGGCAACGGGGGCGAGGGCGAGGGCGAGGGCGCGAGCGAGGAGGCACGGAGGCACGAGCGAGGGCGAGGGCGAGGGCGAGGGCGAGGGCGAGAGCGAGAGGGCGAGGGCGAGAGGAAGCGGGGGCGATGGCGAGGGCGAGGGCGCGAGCGAGAAGGCACGGAGGCCCCGGGGGGAAGGAGGCAGAGGATGGCCAGCAGTTTCCGACGTGGCCCGGCCGCTTTGGGACCATCCTTCCGGCGCCTGCCTCCCATCGTAGCCGCGGCCTGCACGCCGCAGGTCTGTGGCCTCTACTCCGCTTTCCACAAGGAGATGGCCACCGACGTTGCGGCGACCGGGAGGGGGGAGAGAGGGAGAGAGAGAGAGAGAGAGAGAGAGGGAGGGAGGGAGGCAAGCTGTGTGCGCTCGCGCCACATCTGATATCCGATCCCTCACATCCCTTCCCACTGCGCCTTTTTTTCTCTCCATCCGCGGACGCGTGTCAGAGCCGACCTGGCACTCTAACAGAAAAACTCATCGTGTGATGCGCAATCGGAACAAAAGAGCTGCGTACATAAGAGGCGGAGGAGGTGGAGGAGGAGGAGGAGGAGGAGAAGGAGGAGGAGGAGGAGGAGGGGGCGGGCGAGCAGGACGACGAGCAGGAGCAGCAGCAGGAACTGGCTTGGAAGGAGCCGAAGGAGCAGGAGGACCAGGGGAAGGTGGAGGAGCGGAAATGCAGGGACCATCAACGATGAAGAAGGATTCGGACCCATT